TGGTCTCTCTGATCTCCTATCTCCGTACGTCCCTCTGGGCCTCCTCATCGAGCCTGACTCCAGGGTGGCCCGTTTCAGTCACCATCTCACTGGCCCTCCAGATTCTTGCATGCTAGTGCCCCCTGACACCCTTGCTTTGTCAGCTCTGAACTGTTGTGTGCTGTCCCTGCTCCATTTTGAGGCTCCTAGAAGAAAGATATAACACCCCATGACTGGGTTCCAGCGACCCACCCATTCTTTTCTGATCAGCTTCTTATTATGCTTACCCCCCGTGGACCCCCTTGTTCTCCTTCTCCCTGGTTACATTGTGGCCTTCACCCATGAGTTGCTCTGAACGCGCACCTCACTCCTCCGTACTCTCGACACCTCCCCACACGTCCCACCTCAGAGGAATCCTATCTCCAAGACAGGCTCTGCGCCCACCCTCAAGGCCGTCCCAGTTTCCCTCCTTCTGGACTCTTCCACATCGGTATTCTTCTCTCTGAATCTCTATTCCTCTCTAGTTCATACTGGTGTGACACAGAGCTCTATTCCGGGCTTTGCTTGATTTAATAGTCTCCTTCCCCCAGCACCCGAGGAAACAGAAGGCATGCGTGGTGAACGTTGTGGAGTCTGGAGCTCCACCTATCACGACTGGCCCACTCCTTACCCCGTTGCTGGAAGCTTTCAAGGTCGACGGCTCTCAGCCGATCCCTCTCTGGGGCTCACCTCCAACAGAAGAGCGCCATCTCCAGTCCATGCTCCCCACGGGGGGCAGCTGCCCTCAATGACTGGCCATTATGAGGGTGTAGCCGGTTCAGTGACTGGTTGTTAATCAGGAGCCCTTGGCCCAGGATGACTCTGCATGACCCACCGACCCCTGAGCTCCCTGTGGGAACCAGCTGGGGACTCTCTTGAGTCTGCGTTGCAGGCCACTCATCCTCTGTTTTCTGCACCGCCACCCCCAGGGATCCTGCGAGCACAACTCCAGAAGCTTCTTACCTGCCAATCTTCCGCCTCAGAGTCTGCTTCTTGGGAACGGACCACAAGGCTTTTTAGGATTGGGGGAGAAATCTTGAACAGGGATGGGAAAGATCTGTATTCAGATTGATTTCATCTGCTTGGAACATAGAGGTCAGTCTCAGAAAATTAAGAAAAAGGAACTAAGAATTTTCTTAATTTTGTTTTCGTTTGTTCATTCGTTCGTTCCTTCCTTCCTTCACATAAGAGGGCCTATTCTATGTCAGGCACTGTGTCGCATGGTGGAAACAGGGCAGCAGAAATGTGAAGGGGAGATGATAAATGAACACCCAGACTTAGAACTATTAGTTCTTTTTTTCAAATAGATGCCTGGCTATATCTCTCACAACTTGTATTTGTACAACTGAGTTTTTTTTTTTAAGCTACCAATCCAAAAGTTTACACTGATCAAGGAGCTTAATTAATCTCGTAGTTCCAAATGTCAGAAGTCTGAAGTGGGTCTCACTAGGCTAAAATCAAGGTGTTGGCGGGGCTGTGTTTCTCTTGGAAGTTCTAGAGGAGAATCCATTCTGCACCTTTTCCGGCTTTTAGAGGCTTCCCACACTCCTTGCCTTGTGGCCCCACGGTTCCATCTAAAACCAACATTGTAGCGACATCTTCAGATCGTTTTCTCTGATTCTGACCTCTGGCTTCTAGTTTTCTTGTCTTGTCTTCTTCTGACTCTGACCTTCCCACTGTCCTTGCTGTCACATCTAGATGATCCAAACAATGTTCCTTTCTCAAGTTCTTCCACTTAATCCTATCATCAAAGTCCCTTGAGCCAGGTAAAGTAACATATTCACAGGCTCTGGGGGTACAGATATCTTTGGGGGGCATTATTCTGCCTGTCATGCTGGATAATTAATATCCATATTTAAGTTTGAGAAACACTGGCCCATTGTATTTAAATGGTTTTCCTTTCCTACTTTCTCTGCATGTTCACATATTGTTGAAACCTTCTTAAATTAAGACCATGTATGATAAACTTGTTTTTCTCATTTGCTTGACCTCTGCACATATGTGGTTCTGTGAAGGTTGAGACAATTCTGATCTTTATTGCTAGACAGATGTTGCTGGAGGGAGGGGTTGGGGGCTGGGATGCTGTGTATATGTGTCTGGTTATTTACTCCTGGCTGTCTTAAGTGGTGAAGCCTACTGTGTATGCTGGTGCTGGCTGAAATGTTTGAGAAAGCTATTTCTGTCAGTTACTAGCAGTAAGACCTTGGAGAAGTCACATGACTGTTCTCACACAACTCTTTCATCGCTTACAAAATGGCGGGTCCAACTCATGTTACTGATACAAGTGTGAGGATATAGTAAGATGGAGGATTTAATCAACAAGGAACTCTTGAATGATTACATCAATTTTTGGTTATTTGTGGATGCTGAACCTTGACGATGAGAGGGACTCTCTCACCTCACATTCTTTTCTTTTCTTTTTTTTTCCTTTTGTCTGTTTTTTAAAGATCTACTTATTCATCTGAGGGAGAGAACACAGTGGGGAGGGAAAGAGGGGGAAGGAGAGAGAGAATCTCCAGCAGATTCTATGCTGAGCATGGAGTCCAACTTGGGACTCCATCCCATGATCCTGAGATCATGACCTGAGCTGAAACCAAGAGTCCATGACCCAAGTGACTGGGCTACCCAGTTGCCCCCTCACATTATTTTCTTTGAGAGAGCCAGAGTCCCTGCATGTGGTCCACCCTTATGGTTAAGGCTTTTAACTAACTTTGGAGTAGATCAGGGGTTCCTGGGTGGCTCAGTTGGCTAAGTATCTGCCTTCGGCTCAGGTCATGATTCTAGGGTTCTGGGATCAAGTCCCACATCGGATTCCTTGCTCAACGGGGAGTCTGCTTCTCCCTCTACCTGCCACTCACCCTGCTTGTGCATCCTTGCTCTCTCTCTCTCTCTCTGATAAATAAATAAATAAATAAAAATTTTTAAAGAAAAAAAAAACTTTGGCTTAGATCAGAAGATTAAGAAAAGGAGAGCTAGATGGACATTAAGACCCCTGAAGTCTACACCTGGGCCTGTCCTTCATCCCTGTGAAAGAAACCCCTGGGGCATTATTTGCTGAAATCTGGATGCACATTAGAATTACATGGAATGGGTCTAATCAGTGTTTCTGTTTCACTGGGGCTGGGTAAGATCTAGGAACCTGAATCTTGATAAATCTCTCCAAGTGGATAGAATGGGATCTCTATCTCCTGACTCCTGTAGGCTAATGTAAGCTTGGGATCCATTAGCAGAAGAACAATACATGAAACAAAGGAGGGGACAGTGTCTCAGAGCTGTGTACAGAACACACAGTTTTGCTGCATAGTAGGATGGAGATCTGGGGACCCCACTGCCAGAGGAACTTGAACAAAGTCATCACGGGAACAAGACCTGAATGGGTGGGGACACAAAATGACTTTATGTAAGGAAAGCCCAGAAGGGCAAATGGTTCACTTTCTCAAGGTCACCCAGTGAAATTTATCAATGAAAACACCTGCAAAAGAGACATATATTTCCTTTTGCCTGAAACTGATTTACTAAATCACAGTTTGGTTTACTGATTTCAAGCTTGAAACTGATTTACTAAATCACAAAAACCAAATACCATAGTGATGAAAACAGTTGGGCATGCGGATTCATTTTTCTTTCCTAACTGAACTGCTTGCAAAACTCGCGTCTATCAAAAACAATGGCCAGTCAAGAAGTAAGGAGAGAAATGCAGCTAGGGTGGCTAGGTTGGATGCCTTCTTTGCCCGAGGTAATGAAAGGAATCTTCCTGATTATCTGAGGACAGGAAGACCTGGTTTTACTTGGATGCATTTCCTTGTAGGCTTTCTGATAGGAACTGAGATTTTGTCTCTGTCGTGGCTGATAGGTACATTCTACTCACCAATGATGTCCCTTCTTCCTCAGAGCCGTACGCATGGACAACATGCCAAAGACTGGTATAACAGTGATCACACACACACACACACACACACACACACACACACAAGATTTGCACAAGTGAAAAATCAACACCTATAAACACTTTTTAAATCCTTACAATTGTTTTGTGAGGCAAAACTGTTTTTGTGATCTTGCCGTGACTATCGCCATCATTGTTATTTGCAAAGGAGACTCCATACCAAACAGCATACAACTTGGAAATGGCAGAGCCAGGATTTGAACTTCAGTCTTCTGGCCACAAATTTAATGCCCAAACTGACCTCTGAGTGGTAACAACACAGAAGTGTGGAGTTTCCTGGGGCTGTCCTAAGAAACTGCCTGAACTGGGGGGCTTCAAACAACAGAAATATATTTTCTCATGTCTATTGGGGGCTGGATCCCAAATCAAGGAGTCTGCATGACTCTGCTCCCTTTGAAAGCTTCAGGGAGAAGTCTCCCTTGCTTCTTCCTGACTTCCGGTGATTTGCTGGCAATCCCGGCACTCCTTGGCTTGTGGATGTGTAACTCTACTCCCCTCATTGTTTCTAGGGCTTCTGCTTCTGTGTTGGTGTCCTCAGAGGACTTTCTTTTTATAAGGACACCAGTTATTTTGGATTAGGGGCCCTCCCCACTCCAGTATGACCCCAACTTAAATAATTATATCCTCAACAATCCTATTTTCAAATAAAGTCACCTTCTGGGGGTTAAGTCCTCCACATATCATTTTTGGAGGGGACAGAATTCCACCCATGACATTGTCTTCCAGCTTTCCCCTTGAGTTATAGTTCTACAGTCCATATTTTATTATCCCAACTAGATTGTGAACTTCCCAGGAAAGAAAATTCAATTTTACATCTGAAGGGTCCAGCTGGCTGCTCTTGGGCTGGATCTGGACTATGGGCATGTTTGTCTGCTCTGAAATACTGACCTACACAGTGCTGTGGAAGATTTTTTGAATTAGTCTGTGAGCATTCATTTTTTTAATTCTTACTGTTCTTACTGAAGTATAATTAACATACAGTGAAATATTAGTTTCCAGTGAACAACATACTGATTCCACAGTTCTATACAATGCTCAAAATGGTGGATGCTTCACGAATGTGCAGGTCTTCCTTGCGTAGAAGCCATGTTGGTCTCTGTATCGTTCCAATTTTAGTGTATGTGCTGCTGAAGAGAGACTAGTCTGTGACCATTAAAAAGTTTGGGAGCTTCACATGCAAATCTTGATGTCAGGTTTCCATGACAAACCAGAATGTCTGGCTACTCACCAGAGGAACATGGCACCATAGTCTTCATTGCCTGAAGCCTAGCAGGGGCTTCTTAGGTGGGGCAGTGACCTTCTTGTACCACAGATATATTTATACCCTAGTGATTCTACTTCTCTGGAGAGCCTCAGTTAATACACTCTTCACTCAGAAATATGTCTAATATCTAAGCCCCTTTTACGATGTTCACTGCTATCACTCTGGTGCAGGCCATCATTATCTCTCAACTGATCTAGCCACCCAGTCACCTCCAACCTATTTTCCAAGTAGCAGCCAGGGTGACCCTTTAAAGCTGTAAGTCTATCATGATACAACTTTACTTAGTAACCTCCATTGTCTCCCATCCCACTCACAGGAGAAGCTGAAGTCCTTAGATAGCCTTCAAGGTCTTATGCAATCTGGCCTACAGTTGCTTTCTCCAAGCACATCTCTATATCCTGCCCTGCCTCATAGCCTCCAACCACACATGCTTTTCCTTCCACTTGACACCCATGGTCCAGCCTCAGGGCCTTGGAACCTGCTTCTCTCTCTGCCTGGAAAGCCCTTTGTGCAGGCTAATCCATCTGAGTTACCCATATATAAGATAGCACTAGTTTCTTGCATCTCAAGAGAAGCAATGACTTTATCCAGAATGGACTTGCCAAAATGTGTGTCTCAGCCAACTGCCTCAGGGCGTCATCCGGGACAGATGGGCTTCTTTTCATTGGTTTTGGTCATGTGCAATTTTGGCCTCTGTTGCTGCACCTGTGTAAGAATGGTGTGCAGGCTACTCAAGGAGAAATGATAAATCTGAGTATTGGTCATCATGTGCACATTAAACCATGCTTTCTCTTCATTGTCCGATTCTCATGTACCTCCCAAAATTTTGAGTGACTATTTTCTCAAGAAACTCTTGCTCTTTTATCTTAAGTCTGAGAAAACATCCTAAAACACTGCTTTGTGAGGGAAAAGGCATGAGACATTATGGGAAGTAGATCCTTTAGGCAGATGTGTGCAGAGCAAACATCCTCCACATGATCCCCATGTGATCAGAGAGATCCTGTCTGTCCTTCCCCCAACTTCCTGCCCCAGCCCACCTCTCCTGGGCCTTCCATCATGGTTGGAAAGCTCTGAGGGTTCACTTCAGATCATGTACTTGTTTTCATCATCGTCACAGAAAGAGCTCGTATGTCAGAAGAGTAAAGCTCCTGATCTGTGGAATCAATTAAACGGGGCTCCAGTCCCAAATGTGACATCCTAGGTAGTGGGGCTCTGGACAAGTTATATGCCTCTCTTTGTGAGTTTCCTCACTTAGGATAGAGCTGCTAGGGCCTTCATTATGGGGCTGTTACGGGATTTAAATGCAGTCGTGTATACTGAGTGCCAGGCCCGTGGCAAGCATTCAGTGCCGGGGAGTCAAGATGAGTCAGCATCGAAACTGAAGACGAACTCTGTCACCTGAGGCTGAGCTGCTGTGTGCGGTGGACACTCGTGATGGCTCCAGGGAGACTGACCCCTGGGCCATCCTTCACACCATCACCCCAGTGCTCCTCCCAGAACATGAACATGGCCAGGCCACCCCCCTCCTTAAAATGTGTGTGACACTGACCTCCAGGCCAGCCCAGACGGAGCCCGCACGCCAGCCCTTAAGACCCTTGCATCCTGTTGGCCGCCCCTCCTCCCTCCTTGGTTCACTCACCACCGAACTTTGCTCTAGGCATTAAGAAAATAAGTAATTAGTGACCCATGAGCTTGGTCACTAAATCAGTCGTGTCTCTGCTCAGTCTTGTGGACATTCAGCCATATTTTCTCTGCCTCCTTTGAAAGATGTCACGGGAAGTTTTCTGTGCTGTGTCTGCTGTATTCTCCGGCTCAGCTCCTTGGCCACAATGGGAAAGAGGCTGGTCTGGGGTGGCCAGGTTTTTGTGCATACTCAGAGCCTTATCAGATGTGGTCCTCCAGCGTCTCATCTGTAAAGGTGCTGGGGTCCATTGGGGCTATTTTCCAGATCCTTTCTGACTAAAGCTTTGGGAGCAGGGGCTGGGGCCCCGCACACTCACTGGCGAGGAGTCGCTCCCCCGTGCTGCTGGGGTTCCAGCCCCACCTTTACCCAGAGAGCCCAGGGAGGTGTGCCCAGGGAGACGCTGGGTGGGGATGGCTTTCTCATTGGCAGGCAAGTCAGTGTGGGCCCAGTCAGTCCGGGGAGAACGAGAACAGCAGCCTGGATGTCTGGGATGGTCTCTGCCCTCCTCCCCCACCCTGGCCTCCCCCGCAGGAACCTGACTGTGTATCTCAGTCCTAGAATGTGAGGAATGTGCCAGAGCCTGATAGGCCTGAAGCGATCTGAGAGAGGCAGGGAGGAGCGCTGCTCCTCAGTCAGAGGCCTGAGAGGTTGACTCTGGGTCCTGAGAGCTGGGCTGCCCCTCCCCTCCTCCCTGGGCCTCCTGCAGCAGCAGGATCTCAAAGGCTCCATTGTGCACTGAGCTGGATTTTGGTCCCTAGTGTGCCAGGGAGGAGGCGGGAGGAGGGACACTGTCGGGAGGGTGTCCCCTCCCAGTGCTCTTCTGGCTGGTGTTCCCAGGGGCCTTGGCCTGGGGAGAATGATACACACATGGGTGGCTGCTTCTGCATTCCCGGGGAGCCAAGTCTGTCCTGGGGCCCAGGTGAGTTTCCTGGGGGGGGGGGGGGGGTTGGGTTTGGCCTGTGGCTTCGCTTGAGGTGGTTGGTCCAGTGAAGACTCAGGGATCTGCTGGGTAAGGAAAGCGACTTTTCTAAAGACGGGGAGATGGCTCTGCTTTCTGACCCCCTCTTCTCCTTCCCTCATTCAGTATTTGTCATTCTGGCTTTGTAAAAAGGGAGTAGATCCTGGGAAACGTCTACTTTTCCTGAAGAGAGACTTTGAGCTCACTCTGTGAGGAGACGGTGCTGTCTTGGCTTCAGCTCGCAGGGTGTGACTAACCCTTCCGTCTTTTCTTCCCAGGATTCCCTAGGTCAGGAAGGAACCTCGGGCAGGGAGTGCCTCTGGGGCCCATGGGTGGTCATAAATTTGGCCTCTGTCACTCAAACCTATTTTAATCAGGGTTGCTGTCACTAGAGAGAAACGTGCAATTTCCTACCTCCTACCTATTAGAGTGTGATTTTTTTTTAATTATTTTTTTTTTACGTCAACTTGAAGCCTTGGAGACCTGTCGCCTTAAGAAATTGTCAAGTCATCTGGGACTTGACATCAGGTGATCTGCCATTCCAGTTTGCCTGGACCCGAAGACTTTCTCAGGGTGTAGTTACTGCTAAAACCAGAAGAGTCCCCGGCAACCGAGGTGGTTAGTCACCCTAATGGAAGCTCCTTGCTTCTTTTAGGAGCAGGACCAAGGTGGGGCCCTGCCATCTTGAGTAGAGAATTTATCAGGATGCGTGGCAGCTTTGCAGGAAGGTGGCTGTCAGGGAGGACTCCTTGGAAGATAGGAGAGCGTCACACCAAGGAATCATTCCTAACCCTTGTTAGGATTCCATGTCTTCCTAGAGTACCGTGTGGTTCCTTGGTCAGGGAACCCAGGAGAACCCCTAGCCAAGGCAAACAGATTTGTAAATGATGCCCTTGGCACAAAAGGCACAACCTCTAGCTATGAAAACATTTTGCTTCTCCAGATTTCTAAGAATCAGAAACTTTTAAGATCCTTTCGCTAAATCCTGTGTCCATTGTACCCCACAGGAGCAGATGCCGAATGGAGTGTAGGGAAACATGAGGGATCCCTGGTCTGCCAGCCAGGGACCTGAGTTCTAGATCTGACTCAGTCTACCCACACTTGGGCAGGCATAATCATGGTGAATCCCCGGGTCTTTGAGGCCACAGTGTCTGGCTTGATCGTTGTTCTTAGACTTGACTTGAGCAATTTACTTACCCTCTCTGTTTTAGTTCCCCTGTCTGTGGATTTGTGATATCATTATGCATTCTTCATAGAGTTGTGGTAGGGATTAAGTCTATGTGTGAAACACTTAAAATGACCTGACACACAGTGAATTAAGCACAAGAAATGTCAACCGTATTAATTATACTTCTATGACCCTAGCACATCAAGCTCTCTCTTAGGCCTTTGTTTGCTCATCTATAAGAGGAGGGATTGTAGGCATGGCCTGCAGAGGTGCCCTCGGCAGCTCTGCTCCGGCTCTCTGAGCCCCAGGTGCAGATCTGCTTCTGTCTGATATCCTGTCCTCAGCCCAAGATTTCATGTACAAGAGTTCTGAGGCTCAAAACCAACCAGCCAATCAACCAACACCAAAGAAAGCATCCTCAGAGTTCTTAGGACATTATCATCCAGTGATTTCATTGTTTCACCTGGTTTGGGGCATCACTAAGTGGTTGGCATCCTGAATCCACTATTTCTCTGAGTCAACTTGCTATTTCCTTTATCGAGGCTTCTCATGCCATGTCCCCAAACTGTTTTCTACACTTGTCAGGGCCTTTCCCTAGGGAGGATGATAGGGATGTTGTAGGTCTGAGGACCGTTGATATAAAGACCCCCTGTTACGCTCCCCTATTTATCCTAGAGAAATGGAACAAAGTATGAGATATATCCTGGAGTGACTCTGTAGTTCTGCGACTTTGGGCAAATCTCTTACATTCTTCAAACCTCAGTTTTCCTGTCTGTAAACTGGATTGAATGGGACTATCTGTCACATGGAGTTTTGGGTGAGGATTACATCAGATAATTCATCTCATGGATTTGGTGAACGGTTTGGCTTCTGATTACCCCTTAGTACTTGTGGGCTGTTTTATTGCTCCCTAGTAAAGACTATTCCTACAACCCTTCTCCCTATTCCTGGCTCCACTGTGCTCCTGTTTCTGGCTGCTTCTGCCATTACAACTGTTTAAGGGGGAATCAACAGGGAGAACCAGCAGTCCTCAGGGGAAGGGAGGCAGGAAAGGAGGAGGCCCTTGGTAACACTGAGCCCTGGACAGATGCCTAGCTGGTTTGCTGCGGTGTCACACGATGATGAATGTTGGCTCTGGCCACCTCAGGTGACCTGCATTCCCACACGTGGGCTCTGCCTGTGGCATCTGTTCCCCGTAATGCTTCTCATTGGCTCACATAAATCTCCCCAGTGCACATGGTGAGAGGTGCTGGTTCTGGTCAATTGCCATCATGTCTGTCTTTCTGGAACCTTGGAGAGTCTGGCCGCTGTTTAATAAAGTATAGTTGCTCACAGAGGATCGCAGAGTAAGTCATGTCAAAGTTCATTGACCTAAAAGCTTCTAGCGCTGCCCCATAATCGTCAACACTTTCTTGAAGAAATTTAGCAGACTTACACTCCTAAACAGGGGATGTGAGAGAGAACATTTGCCTATATTGATCACTGGTGTTTTTAACTTTCAACACTTTTGGTAAATGTGAATCATGAGTATAATATAGGAAATTGAGGGAGAATGCTGGTAATAGTGAATGATGCCTCATATTTGAACTTTAGAAAGCTTGTGAGGCATTTTGAACTTACTGATAATAGAGAATTTCAGAACAATAAACCCACCATCTAGCTCTAACACATTTCTACATTACACCATATCCACTTCAGAATATTTTTATTTCATTCTCTTACTTAAAAAAAAAAAATCAGGGGTGCCTGGGTGGCTCAGTGGGTTAAGCCTCTGCCTTCTGCTCAGGTCATGGTCTCAGGGTCCTGGGATCGAGCCCCGTATCAGGCTTTCTGCTCAACAGGGAGCCTGCTTCTTCCCTTTCTCCCTGCCTTCCTTGCTGCCTACTTGTGCTCTCTCTGTCTCTCTCTCTGTCAAATAAATAAATAAATCTTAGAAAAAAAAAATCATTGCAGGGGCAAGGAAGGTCCCCTGGTAGTTCTCCCCAGTCTCAGTTCCCTCCCTCCCTTCCTTCCTAGTGTTAATCACTTTTATGAATTCAGTGATTTTGTTCTTTTAGTACATGTCCATGTGCCCCTATCATTGCAACTAATTTTTTTCTGAAGATTTTGATACTGAAACAAAATGATACAGTTACGCACCTTGCTTTCCCCCCCCTCCCTCCATGTGATGATCGGAGAGACATCCATGTAGGGAGATGGAGCCATGGTTGTGATTAGCATCTGTCCTAACAAGGACAGTGTAGGGTTACATATTAAAACCTGCCAATCGTGTAACCATCAGGACAAAGAAGGAAAAAAAATATGCATGCAGGGAAACCCTTCTTCAACTTTTCTTCTTAAAGTTGGGGTGGAAGGTGGGGGCTCATATCCAGCAAGTTGCTGAGAGTGAGATGTTTCCAGATTATCGACTTCAGACTTCAGAGATCAGAGGTCAGGTTAATGTCATGATGGCAGCACGGTCTGCCCCCGGGGATCTGGAGGGCCTCTGACTCTGTCACAAACTTGCTACGTGACCTTGGTAGAATCACTACTCCTTTGTTTCTTTGCAGTAAAATGAGGAGGAGAACAAAATGATCTCTTAAATCCCTTTTATCTCTTCATTTTCTATAAGTATTGCCTCTTCCTTATTTTTATCCCTCATCTGCGATATGTCAAGATGCTTTCTCTTTTCTATCTTTAAAATACCACGTCATTCACGATATCCCCTCACCTCTCATTTGCCAAAATCACAGCGCACAGTCTTACACATATACTCCTGGATTGCCGTACAGCTTTTAGCTGGCCTTCCTCCCTCTCGTCTTTCTTTTTCCCCTGTCCTTCTCATGCCACCCCAGGTAGAATTTCCATTGTTATTATGGTATTCCCATGCTCATGCCTCCCTATTGCTGGCTGTATCTATTCTAAATTCCTCTGCTTGCTTTGAAATGCCGTCCCTATCCTGACTCTGCCTTATTTATCAATTTTAGTCCTATGATCCCTGACCTCTCTGGTACGTACAGGCTGGCTTCTGCTGTCTCTGTGTATGCAAAGTTCATTCCCCCTTATCTTGCTGATCTCTGTGCCAGTAATTTTGCCCCCCCCCCATATAAATCTACCAAGAAAATGAAAAGGAAGCCACAGACTCAGGTATAATACATGAAAACCACACATCTGATACTTGTATCCAGAACACTAAAAACAAACAAACAAAAACCACCCTGGGACACCTGGGTGTCTTAGTCAGTTAAGCATCTGCCTTTGGCTCAGGTCATGATCCCAGGGTCTTTGGATTGAGTCCCACATAGGGCTCCTCGCTCAGTGGGGAGTATCCTTCTCCCTCCGCCTGCTTGGCCTTCTGCTCTCTCTCTCTCTCTCTGGCAAATAAATAAATAAGATCTAAAAAAACCCACCCTTATAACTCAATAATGAGGAGGTAAATAACCTAATGCAATGGAGCAAAATGTTTGTAAAGACACTTTCATTCAGAAAAATGTATGTATGGTAAATAAGCACATGAAAGAAATGCTCAATATCATTATTTATTAAGGAAATGTCAACTGAAACTGTGAGATAAAGCTACACACCCACAGAATGGCTAAAATTAAAAAGCCCGGTACTTTCAGAGGTTGGTGGGGGATATGGAGTAACCAGAAACCAGAACTCTCTTACATTGCTGATGGGAATGCAAAACGGTATAGCAGTTTTGGAAAGGAGTTTGGCAGTTTTTAACTAAATGTCAATTTTTTTTAATTAGTACCTTTTTATCACCCATAATAATAATAAGAACAAAAATGAAACTAGCTTATACCAAAAGTAACTTGTTGATTCATAAATGAAAAGTCCAGGGGTTGTTGGCTTTAGGTATGGTCAGATCAAGATAGCCAAATTATATTATCAGAAAGTAGCTTTCCTAAACTCCTAAACTTTAACTGGGTTTGGCCTCAACCTCAGGCACACCTTCACCGGGGCGGGTAGGCCCCACCAAGCTGTCATAGCCACAGCTCCAGCTGCAATGGAAAGAAATCTCTTCTGCAGAGTGCTGATGTGGGTCCGAGGACTAGTTCTCATCGGCTCCACCTTGGTTATGTGGCCATGGGATAACATAACGTGATTGGCTTATGCTTAGTCCGGTGCTCACTTTTGGAGCTGAGAATGGAGTCAGCCCTGCTTGAACCCCATGGACTGGGTTTACGGGGCTCATCTGGCTAATGAGGAAGCTCAAGGTTGAGTCTGGGACTGTGTCATTGCCGTCTTAGCCCTTAGTCACTTCTCTACCTGCTTCCAGTGTTAGAAAACAAATGTGCGTCTACTACAGAATATTTGGAAAGTAGACAAAAGTAGACAAAAAGATAATGAAAAATGACCCAGCAGTAGCCTCTATGGACCTGCTTGGTCTCTTTCCTTTCAGTCATTAAAAAAATCATACATCTTTTTAAACATACTGTATTCTATATGATAGCTTTTTGCCTTGATTTGTCTCTAGTCCCTTTTTAAGGCCCAGCTAAGTCTTCATATTCTTCCATGTTGAAATATAGTCCATGTGCCAAAGAGCTCCGTAAAGTATGAATCCCTGTGCTGTTCTTCATATATTATGTGGCTCACCCAAATTTTCCAGATTCCTTCTTGTCTCTCAAGCGGCCACCCTCTGGCTCATGGGTCCCCAGGCAGCTGGCACACAGGCTCTCTCTACTCCAGAGATCCTCACACTTTAGAGGACAAGAGAAATCCTCAAAAATGCTCATTGAAAATGCACATCTTCAGATCTACCCCTAGATATTCGGAGGTGAAGTAGGTAGAGAAGAGCTCAAGGAATATTTCTAAAATTTTCTTCTATTAAAATTTACCGTTTATACAAAACTACCCTCAAAATCACATGTGTACCGCTCAGTGAATTTTCACAAGGTGAGTATATCCATCTCTGCTGCTTCCTGGAGTTGCCGTTCATTTATTGTACTTAATGGTATAGACCGGCACTTACTTACTCATTCTCGTGTAGAGGGACATTTGGGCTGTTGCCAGGTTCTGCATATTATCCATATTGCTGCTGTGAATATTTTAGTAGATGCATTTTGGTGAACACATATACATATTCTTTTGAGTATATGCCTAGGAATGGAATTTCTGGATCTTACCGCATGCATATATCCAACTTGAACTGATAAGTCAGTTTCTCCCAAGCAAAATATCTTCAAGCCTTAGTCTCACACTTGCTGTATATAGGATGGGAGTTCTATCAGTCTTTTTTATTTTAGCCAGTCTGTGTGGAGGTGTTCCACTGTAATTTTTTTTTTAAAGATTTTACTTATTTATTTGACAGAGAGAGAGAGATCACAAGTAGGCAGAGAGGCAGGGAGAAAGAAAGGGGGAAGCAGGCTCCCTGCTGTGGGGCTTGACCCCAGGACCCTGAGATCATGACCTGAGCCAAAGGCAGAGGCTTAACCCACTGAGCCACCCAGGCACCCCACCTTTAGTCCATTTTTCTAACAGGTTGCCTATCTGTTTCTGAAAGCTGCTTAGAATTCTTCATATATTCTGGATTTGAGTTCTTTACATTCTATACATTCTTTATATTTTCTTCGACTCCCTCACTTACCTTTCGCTCTGTTATTTGCATCTTTTGATCAACAAAAGTTCTTCATTTTATTTATTATTTGTATGTGTGTGTGTGTGGGGGGGGTAATGCTTTCCCATTTAGGAAATGGGAAATTCCGGTTTAGGAAAGAGCTGGTTACTTCAAGTCATGCAGATATTCTTCTTTCTTTTTCTTTTTCTTTTTTTCTTTTTAAGATCGTATTTATTTATTTGTCAGAGAGAGAGCGTGTATGCATGAGCAGGGGGAAGGGCAGAGCGAGAAGAAGAAGCAGGCTCCCTGCTGAGCAGAGAACCCGATATGGGGCTCCATCCCAGGACCTTGGGATCATGACTTTAGCCCAAAGCAGATGCTTCACTGACTGAGCCATTCAGGCGTCCCTCTTCTCTATTCTTCTACCAGTTGGCTTGGACAGACAACTCTTTAAAACCCAGCACCTAGGTAATTCTGATGCAGTCTATAAATTATGGCCTGTGAAACCTGCCATTTTCTGCTCTAAACCTCACACATCTTTTCAGAGCTTTCTGCCCTGCCCTCTCCCTCAAAGCAGGGTGTCACGAACGTCCTTCTTCAAGGTGGGCTTACAGGGCGGGCATTCACCATCCTTAAGCCGTTGTTTCTTTCCATGCAGTCTTGCGATGGGACGCTCTCTCAAAGCTCGAGGGGGCCGGATGGGAATGAGTAAATTTGATGGTGTGCAGAATGTGGTGGTCAGAGAAGAACGAATGACTGCAGAGGGACAGCAAATGCTTGGCTCCAGCCGACTGGGGCCACATGAGACTGAGGGTCCCAAACTACAGATCTTCCTGTTTTCAAAGTCAAGCCAAGCATCTGGGTTATGTAAAATATCCCAATTTCTGAGTGATGTTGAGCAATTCAAATTCAAACTTTGAAAATTCACTGGGTGGGGAAAAGAAAGAAAGAATAACAAAAAAGAACAAAACAAAAAAAAAGAAAAGAAAAGAAAAGAAAAGAAAAGAAAAATGTTGTTTGTGATGGCCTCTGGCCCCTTTATCACTTTTCAAATTGTCACAGAGTAGAGAGGCAGGTGGCCACTCCAAGTGTGATCCTGGGACCAGCAGTAGACAACCCCATAAGCCCCCCGCCCAACTCCAGGAGCACATTAGACACGCAGACCTTAGGCTTTCAACCTATTGAGGCAGAATCTAAATTTTACCAATACTCTCAGGCCTTTCATACACACATGAAAGTTTGAGAAGCACCAGTCTAGATGTATCGTTCCAAACACTGGCTCAAATTAGAATCGTTTGGGGAACTTAAAAGAATTTCTATGGCTGGGCTGCACTATGGACCACGTCAATCAGCCTTCCTGGAGATGTGGCTCAGGCGCTGCTATTTTTAAAAAGCAATCTGAGTGATTCAAACAGGCAGTCAGAGTTGAGAACCACTAACTCAGATCAATCTGTCATTTGCGAGTGGGAAAAGTGAAACCTCAGAAAACGGATGGATGAAATGTCTTGCCCAAGGTCATTAACTAATGTATGGGAGAATCTGATTTGTGCTCAACCTCTTATCTCATGATTCCCAAGCCAGTGCTCCAGTTACCTTTGGTTCCTAGGGGCAGAAGTACAAAATGATCTAGTTCAATGAGAGCTCATTACTCTCAGCTTTCCTGCTAAGCTGCTTTCAACACTGAACCCCTAACAAGACGAGAAGCTGTGAGTTGACAGGTCCTTCCTTCTGCCTATTCAAACCCAAGTCCATTTCATTCTCCCTATACATCACCCCAAAAAGTGCTGACCACTCTCACTATGAAGAAATGGAAGGTCCTCCACTTAGGTGTCAAAATGGGTGACACTTGGTGTCAAAAATCTCGCTGTGTAGGCCTGGAGCAGGGAGCAGAGGCCCAGACTCCTGGCAGCCGTGTGAGGATCTGGGGTCACCATTCATCAGCAGTGAGTGGATGAAGTGTGATGGCTGGCCCCTTATCCGTCTTGGGCTGCATCAGTAGAAGAACAGGTACACAATGCAAAACGGGTAGGTCTGCTTGACTCTGATCCAGCACAATTTTACAATCAAAGAAACTGGGAGAAGTGAGGGGCTTGCAAACAGTGGTAGAACCAAGATTCCCAATCCCTCTTTCCAGACCCAGGCAGTGCTTATAATATTCTGACCCCCCACTCTGGTATAGTCCTTGAACAGTCTCATGGTCAAAGGAAAAGAGTAAATAAAAGTAATGTGTTACAGACTTGAGTTCTCTTGTATCTTGGGGATATCACGAGGGAGGCCCACATTTCATAGTGGTGCTTATGAAATTTCCCTTTATTCGTTTATATCCACTGCCTCATGCTTTACAGCTGTACACTCTTCTCTTTTCAACTCTCTGCTGTCAAAAGTGCTTCCTCCCTAAGCATCTTCTTTCTTCCCCTTTTTGCTCCAGTTCAACAGTGGCAAAGACAGGAACATTTTGGAGATCTGAGGAGAGGCCCCATACAGGACTCTAGTGGGCAAACAGTCTGGGGGCCATCAATACATTTCAAGTCCATTACAAGCATGTCCTGCCATCTCCTTCATGATGCCACCTTCCCTGGCTCTGCTCCAGCACTTCCGTTATCCACCCATTACCTTAAACCTTGCTGCAGTCAAATCTTTAATGACCTTGTAGCTTCAACATATATTGAGCATTTCAGTGTCCTCAGTCCTCAGCCGTGATACTCAGTCTGACCTGTGGGTAGGGATCTGTTTTATTTATTTACCTTAAATAAAACAGGGATACTCAGGCTACTGAAGAATTGAGATGAGAGGCATGACTGTTGAGTACCGAATAATTATTAGGCAAGGGTGCTAGTAAGGAGAATTTTTCCAGGCCACCTGCCCTGGAGACAAAATGGTCACTTGACAATGATTTGCAGTCCATGCTTATAACTTGCTTACACTCACACAAATGCTTTTTCATTTGCTCTCCTCCAGGTAAAGAAACTCCTTCCAAAGATCCAACCATATCAAGTGAGTTTATAGCCTCATCTGAAGACAAGGAAAGATGTTGCCTGCCACAGAACATGAATCCAGGTATCTAAGCTCCTGAAGAGAAGCCCCATTTTTTTTTCATATTTTCCATGTAGAATACCACAGTACCTTCCTTATCTCTCTCATTTGCAGGCTCCCTTCCTTTTATCCTTTCTAGGCACCAGCACCAAATGCATCTTTGTAGGCACGACCTTGACCATGGTATCCACTTCCTTTCAAACTTTCCAATGCTCTCCATTGCCTGCAAGATGAAAGCTTTTCAGGTGAACACTCAAAGACCTTCACAATCTGGGCCGTATCAGGAGCTCCATACATATTTGCTCTACAAAAAAAGTATATCAGCAATTAAATTTTAAGGTGCCAGAGGGCAGCGTTAATTTTTTTGGGATACTTCTATATTTATTCTACATGGTATCCTAAAGAGTTATTTATACATGGCTGTTTTTTCAGAAAATGTTTGGTAAATAAATACACAAAGGGTTGAGTAAATATTTGCAGGTCATCTTTGTAGTCTATATACAGTACCTTGTACATAGCAGGTTCTTGAAAATCCCTTGTTGAATAAATGCGTAAGTGAATAAAGGGTTGAATATGTGGGGTGAGAGGCGACCAGCAGAAGAGCCCCTATATGAATCTTTCAGAAGCAGAACAAGATTTTGAAATTAACGTGAAGGAAATCTTATTCTCAAGACATGTCTTTCACAAGGTTCTGGGTTAGAGACCTCAGCAGAACTGGCAGGAAGTTGGCAGCAGAGGGCTCTATGCCTGGGTTGAACTTTGTGCCGGAAACTCTGGGGATCAACCTGTGGAAAACTCAGCATCTGTCCTCCAGTAACAGGGGCCATTTTGGGGGGCAAGTCGTGTGCCAAGTAGGTGCTAAATGACCAACTCTCATTCTCACGTGCACACGTCTAAGAGGTGCCCCCAAGTGCCCCATGTCAAAGGTGCCAGAGTCTCAGAGAGAAAGGCAACCTCCCCAATGCCGCAAACACGGCCAGTCTGTGATGAGACACGGGTTCAAGCCCCCGTCCTTGTTCATAGCCACCTTGCTTCATTGTCCCTCCAAACACGTACTTCTCTCAGGCAGACAAATGATTGATTTGTGAAAAAGATTTACATTAAGAATGGTTCAAAGGACAGAGACCAGGTAAATAGATGGTGTGTACATGTCATACCAGGTTCCTTCCTTCCCCAGTTGCAAATTCAGTCAAACTGCTGGGCTGGCCATGAGAAAAACCTTGCCCTTTCTTGTTCTTATATCAGTCTGCTTCTTTGTCTGTTAGCTTGGGCTGTCCTTGACAAAAGGTGACTTGCCGCCTTTTGTTTCCAGAAAGCAGTACAGTCAGCATTTTGCCTTATCAGTGCATGAAGCCCAATGAACAAATGAGGGGCTGAACTTGTCTGTCTTTTAGCATTTTCCACCGTGATGCTGTTTCCAGGAAGGTCACTGAGTGAGAAGGGGATGTTCTACCCCAGCCTCCAATCTCACCTTCATGCGGAAGAGTCATGGACAAAATCAATCAGATACATTAGCATGATTAAACCACCGGTATTCAGAAGGACTTAAAAAAAAATGGCAAAGTGTATTTCATACTAACACTGGAGTGAGCTTGATTTATTTCCCTGTCTGGTCATGCTGAGGGGACCACTGTATCCCACAGTGGGCCCAGACGGGAGGCTCTGAGTGGCAACTCTTACATGTCGAGATCTCAAAGGCAGTTTGCTTATTTAAATTCAGGTCTTTTGAGTGACATATCTGTGGATTCATATTCGGGGCAAGGAGATCCACACTGAAGGCTGTCATTCACTGGGGACTATTGTGAGAGATTCTAGAAGGGAGTTTGGATCAGGCTGTGGAAGGACAGGAGAGATGGATTTGGTGAAAAGTCACAATTGGAGTCTGGGTTGATTACAGGTGTGACAAGATGAGGGCAGAGGGACAGTAATCCCTGCAGTGCTGGGGTGGGGGATTTTGTGAGAGTCAACAGCTAACGCTTAATGTGTTAATTGAATATTTATTATGTAGGAGGCACTGAACAAAAAGCTTTATATGCATAATCTCCTTTGTAAGCCTCTTAAAAGCTCTGTGAAATAGATACTCGGCAAGTCATTTTGCTAATGGGAAAAGTCAAGTGTAGAGAGATAATTAACTGTTCAGCACGGCACAGCGAGGGAGGGCAGAGCCAAGCCTTGAGCCCAGGTCTGTGTGACTCCACCTCCCTGGCTTCGCCTCCTCTTAGAGGTCAGTGTGCTGATCCATGAGGCTACCAGACAGAGGGCTGGGTGGGACGGCTGAAGATGGAGGGTTGGTTGAAGTTAGAACACAGGCCAGGAAGGAACAGAGTGGAAAACTTCTGCCCGCAGTTTGCACCCATGCCAGGTCAGTTGCAGATGTCCTATTGGAGCTGGATGGCAGCCACAGCATTTTTAGAACTTCTAGGTTAAAAATGGGCCTTTAAACATAGGAGTCCAGGCTGCTTTGTGTTATCCGGCCAGCATGAAAAGGGCTGTCTTTAATGGGCTCAAGGATTGTCAAAGTCCCTGGCAAGTTAAGGCTTGAAAGGAGACCTCCATGATTATCCAGTCCAATGACTTTTTGGTTCATTGTGTTTGATAATTAACAAGATTGCTACTTATTGTCTAAAGAAGACGTGGCAAAGTGCAGTTATAAGATGAACCTCCTCAGGGTTGTCTTTTCCAACAACACCGTCCGAGGCGCACCCCTGCCCCTTGCAACCACTGCATCACACTGTTAACCTGATTACATTGCTTTCCTAGCACTTTTCTCTATCTGAATGTATTGTGTTCATAGAATCAGTTACTTGCAAAGAATACGAGCTCCATGAGAACAGGGACCATGTCAATTTTGTTTCCTGCTGTATCCCAGAACCTAAGACAGCTTTTGCTCATAGTATTGGTTGAATAAATGTGCATTTCAAAGAAATTAAACATAGACTTTAGTACATTAAGCAACTATCCTGGAAAACATTAATGGACTCATCATTAGAAACAGTTTAGAGAAAATGTATGGTGTATACATAATGCATAAAGTATAGACCATCTATTACATATCATAGATTTGACATATAAATGATTTCCACATATAGAAATAAATTAATATTTGTTCAAAACTTTCACAAATCATCCACAGGAAGGTGTATATGTCTAGCTCTTTTTGTTGGCACTGTCACCTTGGTGCCAGGCAGCCTAGAAATAAACCTTGTTCAAAGCAGAAATAACAACAGCAACTCCTGGGATTCCAGAAAATTCCCAGGCTTCAGCCTCTTTCTTTTTTCCCCCTTGGAGGTCATTTTAAAGGAGGTGCTCAGGAGATCGTGAAGATTACTTATAATCTCTAATTAATGAGGGCACCAATTTAAGATTTAGGTGTGGGAAACATTGGGGTTCACCTAATTCTTTTTTCCCTTTTGTTGCATTTCTAGCCTGCCCTGATTGGCATTCCTGTCTTTTCTGTTTAAGATCTGACGCTCTCCTTCAGTGTGAAGAGCCGCTCCCAGCGGTGTGTAAATGGCCTCCTGCAGGAAGCGGCCAGGAGGCGGCTCTGGGCGCTGGAGAATGAGGACCAGGAGGTGCGTGCCCTGTTTCAGGTGAGCTGGGGTGGCCCCATGCGGTGCTGACGCTGCCTTGTGTCCGGCTGCGGCAAGGCTCGCCAGCACCTAGGACAGCGCCGGGAACAGAGTAGGCTCTCAAGAAAACCGCTAAAGGAAGGAAAGAATGAATGAAATCTACACATTTGCGGTTGGCAAGAATAGGCACGACTCAGAAGGGGGCAATCTCTGGGGTTGCAGAGTCAGAGAAAAAACGGTTTAAAATCTGCCACTCATGGCTCTTTGACCTTCTACAAGTGACTCACCTGTCTTGGACAAGAATGGTTATGATATTTACCTCATGAAGTATACCTCTTAAAAAATGTGATAAATTCGAATTTTGTTTTTTTTTCATTGTGATAAGATAGATGTAATGTAAATTTTCAATGTGAATTATTTTCTGTGTACATTTCAATGGCATCAGTGCACTCACATTGTTACGTACCTGTCACCACTATTCATTCCAGAACTTTTTCATCGTCCCAAACTGAAACTCTATATCTACTAAATAGTAACCCCTTCCATCCCCTTTCCTCACCACGGGTAACCACTAAGTATACTTTTTTTCCCTGAGGTACCAAAATTGCCAATCAAAAATTAATAACTATATATTTTAGAATGAGAGGAGAAAAAGGCAATAAAATAAATAAACCAGTCCTTCCTCTTTCATAGTGGGTAGCTAGTACCTTCAGTTGTTAAACCAAGGAAGAAGGGTGTGACCAAATTATTTACAGTTTAGGAGGAACTTTTTTTTTTTTTTTTCTTTTTAAGAACTTATCCACTTATTTGACAGGGAGAGCACAAGCAGGAGGAGCAGCAGAAAGAGGGAGAGAGAGAATCAGACTTTCTGCTGAGCAGGGAGCCCAACATAGGGCTGGATCCCAGGACCCTGGGATCAAGACCTAAGCTGAAAGCAGACACTTAACTGACTGAGCCACCCAGGTGTCCCCTAGGAGGGACTTACAAAGAAAACCAAAGTCAGAAATGGTTAAAAGTTGTTGCAACTAGAGGTGGGAGAGAAAGAATATTACTTCATGTAATAAGCTAATATGTTCTAGTTATTTTTATAGTCTCTGAATTAATTTGATACAAATTAAAAAGGGAAACATGTTCTATTAATCTGTCACATTAAAAAAAAAAAAAAGACTGGTTTGTTGGGAGGAGCCGGTGAGTCAGTATCTGTAGAGAGCTTGGCACTTGGCCTGGGTGGTGGCATGTTCTCCCTAAATAGCAGAGAAATTATAAATTGTACGTTTTTTTTTTTTTTAATTTCCAGAATTCAGAAAGTTGGGGGCATGAGCTGCTAACTGGCACCATAGTTCTTTTAAAAATTTGAGTCACTTTTGGTGTGGGCCAGGGCTGGGTTGGATTGAGTCAGGTGAGTCACTTTTGGTGTGGGCCAGGGCTGGGTTGGATTGAGTCAGGTGATCTGCTGGGCTGAAGGTTGAGCTGGGCCAGCTTGTGCAAGGGAGCAGAGACCTGGAGTCAGCCGGATCTAGGCTCCTGTCAGGGGCCACGGGGTAAGCACAGGTGACCTGGGGTAACTGCTTAACTTGTCCGTGCCTGGGCTTCCTTGACTAAAACACAGGGATAATGCCATCTTCTATTAAATCTGAGATGCTGCTTCATTATAAAATGCAGCGATATTTTCTATACCTCGAAGAAGGGGAAATAAATGCTGCCAGTTAAGTATGTCACATGTCTTTATCTTTAACTTCAGAAGTGATTAAATGTGGTAAAAGTGCATCTTGAATGGATTAAGTAGTGTAATTGTACTCTTTGCATAGGTTATTGTGAGTTAAATGAGGCATTGTTGGTAGAGGAGTGGAGTGCATAAGAATGGATGAATCTCTAGGAAATCAGTATTTATCCAGAATCCCTTCCCTTATCAACAGGATCTGGGGACTCCTGGGGCCTCGTATGGGTTCTCTTCCTTCCTCTCTTTCTATCCTCTTCTTCTTTCCACAGGGTTCTCCCACAACAGTGTTCCAGGGGTTGATCTTTGATGGCAGGACCTGGCCTGGGGGAGGAAGGATGTTCTGACCATCACTCATGATAGTCAACTCTAGAAGCTTGGACAAGCAACAGAGAAAGATTTTAGGGGAAAACCAAGTCTGTACAGTAGGTCAGGCCTATTTTCTCAGGTACTAAAAAAAAAAAAAAAAAAGGGAGAGGGGGAGCATGCAAATTGGCATAGCCCAGCCTTTCTAGAGGGCATTTTAGGATGGAAAACGTGAATATCTACATTCCCAACTGCACATCTCAGAATTACTTGTGTCAAGACCTCAAAGATGCGTACAAACATTTAGCTCTAGGATGTTTATCACCATACGGTTCAGGATGGTAAAAAAAATGAAAACAACTCAATCATCTAACCGTAAGGAAATGCTAAGAACTTTGTTAATGTAATAATGGCATGAGTAACTGTTACAAATACTGTAAATTGATTAATGATGTGGGAGATGGTTCATTTCCAAAGATTACAAAGCAATTTATGGAATGTGATTCTATTTATATAAATAGAATCATGCATAGGAAAAAGGATTCAAAGTTAATACACTGAAGTGTTAACCAAGATGAGCTCCTGGAGGAGGGACTGTGGATGATTTTTTTTTGTGTGTGTGTAATTTGCTTTTTCCATTTGTCAACTTTATAAAAATAATCATTAGACATAGATTCACAGTCAGACCTGCTTCCAATGTGCCTTCTCTTATTTATCCTTCACCTTCCCCCATCCTCCTCCTTTTTTTTTTTTTTTTTTTTTTTAAACACGAAAGGTAGAATTCTTTGCACGCAGTTCTGCATCCTGGTTCCTTCTGTTGCTGCTATTGTTCTGTGTAGCGGGATATTTTGGAGGCTGCCTCAGAGCACAAAGAATTTCCTCACTCTCTTTTACGGCTGCGTAGTATCATAATGTTCTATTGCATGGGTGAATCAGAATTCATTTTATCCAGTCTCCTATTGATGGACTTTTAGGTTATTTCCTTTTTTTTCTTTTTCTATTTTTTTTTGTTTTTGTTTTTGTGTGTGTGCATGTGTGTGTGTGTGTGTGTGTGTGTGTGGTGTAAGAAAACTCCAGCGCTACAATCAAGAAATTTATACGAAGCATTTTGCACTTGTCTGAGTTTGTTAACAGGATATGGTCATCCCGGGCTGACTCACTCTTCTCTTTACCCAGGACCTCTCAGCCAGGCTGGTGGGCATCCAGTCCCAGAGGGCTCAATTCCTCATCACCTTCAAGACCATGGAGGAAATCTGGAAGTTTTCCACCTACTTGAACTTAGGTATGACATGGAGCAGGCAGGTGGAAGAGAACCTACATCTTGGTTCCACCCATCAGGAGGGATTGACATTAGGGAATTGGTCTGGATCTGATAATTAAAAGAGGTAGAGCCCTGACACAGATGGTTAAATTTTAATATCACAAACTGCCTGGAACTAAATCTAAAGCAAATATTAACTATTACTCTCAAATGCTAGCAAATCTAGATTTTGTTAGATTTGAGACCATTTGAGAGTAATGCTAGATACTCAAATGCTAGATACTCTCAAATTACTCTCAAATTACTTTGTTTTCAGGGACAGACTACTTTCTTCAACAGTCAATCCATTGGTAAACTGTTCTTGGTGATCACTAAATTTGAAGGATGAACTGAAAGGCAGATTGATGGTTTAAAAAAAAAAAAAAGGAACCAGTCTTGAGTCAGATCAAAGTAGCTGCTCAAAATAGTAAAGTTGTGGATACTTTAGCCTATGTTTTTGGACAAGAGTCAAAGAAAGAGATGGGCGAGTTATCTGCTAAATGGGACTCAGATTGCAGGATTTTATAGAAAATGACTGCATGGGGTAGAGGGTCAAGATGGCTCTTGGCTAAAAGGTAGAACTTCTCTCGTAGTCATATTGATTTCCTGCTCACCACACTGTGTGTCTCCTTCCGTGATCATTTAGAGACCCGTCTTTAATTCAAAGTGTGCTCCATGGACCAGCACTTTTGGCATTGCATGGAGTTTGTTAGGAAAGTAGAATCCCAGGCCCCAGCCCAGACCTACTGAACCAGCATCTGTATTTTAATAAGATCCTCAGGAAATTTGTGTGCATGATGATAGAAAACACACAAGGCCTAATCACAACAGTCAGAATGGAAAGAAACAGGTTTTTGCATCTTAAGAAAGAGGATGTCTCAAAAGAAGCAAAATGTTAACACAAATAACTCACATTCGTAGGAATGCTTGAAATACTATCCGTAATTGCAATTTGCTTAGTATCTAGTTCGGTTTTAACAAGGGAGCACACGCTGGGCATGAATAATGGAAAGAATCAGAGAAGGGATGATAAAGCCAATCCTGACTCCTTTGTGGGTCATAGACAACCCTCTAGCCACTGCATCGTTAGGGGTTCGGGAATTTTTTTTTTAATCAACATATAATGTATTATTTGTTTCAGGGGTACAGATCTGTGACTCATCAGTCTTAAACAATTCACAGCACTCACCATAGCACATACCCTCCCCAATGTCCATCACCCAAGTACCCCATCTCTCCCACCTCCCTCCCCTCCATCAACCCTCAATTTGTTTCCTGAGATTAATAATCTCTTATGGTTTGTCTCCCTCTCTGGTTTCATCTTGTTTCATTTTTCCCTCCCTTCCCCTATGATCCTCTGTCTTGTTTCTCAGATTCCTCCTATCAGTGAGATCATATGATAATTGTCTTTCTTTGACTCACTTATTTAACTTAGTATAATACTCTCTAGTTCTATCCATGTGGTTGCAAATGGCAAGATTTCATTTTTGATGACTGCATAGTATTCATATATATATATACACACCACATCTTCTTTATCCTTTCATCTGTTGATGGACATTTGGGCTCTTTCCATAGTTTGGCTATTGTGGATATTGCTGCTATGAACATTGGGGTGCATTTGTCCCTTCGGATCACTATATTTATATCTTCAGGATAAATACCCAGTAGTGCAATTGGTGGGTCATAGGGTAGCTCTATTTTCAACCGTTTGAGGAACCTCCATACTGTTTTCCAGAATGGCTGCACCAGCTTGCATTCCCACCAACAGTGTAAGAGGAGAGGTACAGGAATTTGAACCTCAGTCAGGATAACTTTAAGGGGAGGGAACCAGGACCCCCCAGAGCTCAAATTAGAATCTCAAAATTCCTCTATGGATGTATTAGAAGAAGGTAGTTAGGTTTGGTTATCTTATTATCCATTATGGAGACCCATAATGTGTTGAAAGGAGTAAATGTCATTTAAAAATGACTTGTGTTTCCCAACAGATGCTGAGAAGAATCAATTCACTCTAGAAATTTCCCAGCTACCTCTCTATGCTCTTCTAATTTCAGTTAAATGGGATCAGGTTGGGGATGAAGGTCTGGGAGGGACCTTCAGAAAGGAGCTTCCTCACCCTTTTCTGTGCTCAGCTTGTGGCAGAAATCATGCTGTTCAGGACTCATGTTGACTTGACCTCTTAGGCTATGTGTCTGCATGTCTGGAACATCTCCTCTTTGACCATAAGTACTGGCTCAGCTGCAGATTGGTGGAAGATACAGAGATCCAAGTGTCAGTGGATGAGAAACACCTGGAAACAATATACCTGGGCCTCCTGATACAGGAAGGTGAGCATGGGGGAGAGGTGGGGTGGGGTTTTATCTGGGTATTTATTATCAGAGCCCCTGAAATAATTAGGATACAAAAGGAGGCAAAAAAATGTTTCCAAGGTGAGAATATTCATAAATGGACCCACCTATTACAATATTACCCCAAACATCTCTGTCCATTGGACACTGATATCACATGAACAGGTGTGGGTGAGGCTCTCTGATTGTCTGATGTGAAACCCCCTTGTGGAGTTTGGAGAAGATGCCCCATGCCAAGTTTCCACCCGGGCCAATTAGATCTCCAGAGATTGGGGCCTAGGCTCTGGTATTTTCTAAAAGTTGCCCAGATAATTTTAACGTGCATCCAGGAGTAAGAATCCCTTTTTATAATATAATATGATTGTGAAATAAAATTGCAAATCTTGCAAAACCTGCGAGATTTCCTGAGATGGAGGAAAATGGTGTTGGGGAACTTCTTGGAGCATAGGCCAATCTGTTTACAAGGAAGGATTCGACTGGGGCTACAACCAACCAGTTAAGGACCCATGACATCACAGGCACAATGAAAGAGTTAGATTTGCTTAGAATGTTTTGCATTCTAGATTCTAGATTTGCATTGCAATCTAGATTTGCATTCTAGATTCTGTTTGTGATCACGTTGAACAAATCACAATCGAAGGAATGAATGTCATACTGTGCTACTATAAAATCTAGTTAGAGAAGCATCAACCAAATTTATTCTTTTTTTGGCCCTAAGACTAAGCAGAAGGTTACAGTTGTAACTAAGTTTCTGTTAACTTTTGTCCCCCCCACCCTTTTTTTTTTTGGTTCAAGGTAAAGCTCCAATTCAACCTTACTCTCACAAACCACTCTGAGCTTATGGTGTCTAATTTAAGAGAATTCCCTCCCAGTGACTTTTTTGTCCCCCTGCACCCCCGGTCCAGTTTTTCTGGAATCACAAAGATTTCCTGTGGTGCTTCTCCCTTGGCCGTGTCCTTTACTCCTAGGAAGAAAAGCAGCCGGACTTCTGGTTAGAAATGTTACGTTGTGTGTTAATCCCTTTTCACCTAGTGCTACTCCTTGGAGGGGCTTTTCTCATTATGTACAGGCCACTTCTTCTGCAGAGCCATGTGCTCCGTGGCTCCGCCAGCTGAGAAGGAAGGAGAGTATTTGACGCTGTGCAAGAAGGAGTTAATCTCTGTGAAGATCACTGACAGCGAATCCGAGTGGGAGGGCGTATCCTTGGTGACTGGTCAGCGGGGTCTGGTGCCCCTGTCAGCTCTGGAACCTCTGCCCCTGCCTTTCCACCAGTGAGTAACCAACTACATCTTGGGAGTGGGTCCCAGAGCAGACTAAGGTCTGCACAGTGCATGGGAGATAGGTTTGTAGACATGGGCATCTACGGTCCTATGGAGGGAACAAAATCTGTGTGGGGTTGTTTTGTTTCTGTTTTTTTTTTCCCTTTCATCATTCCTTTATTTTTTTAACAGTCAAAATTTGTACAATTTGGTGAAATATGAGACAACTCAAAATTTCAGATGGACATTGTACCTACTGCCTGGTCTTCAAATGCAGTGTTTCTCTGTATGGGGACTGGGGACTATTTGTATCAGAATCACTTGGGGATTGACTACAAATTCAGCCTGCCTGGCCATCATCAGGCTCTTTTGGGATCAGATTCAGGAATTTGCTTTTTCTATAAGCTCCCCTTGAATCTAAGGGGATGTATTCCACACTTAAGTTTGAGAATCTGGACCTGAAGGCTTTGTAACCTCAAACATCCAGAGGGGCCATACACATGATCCCAGGCTGTGGACCCTGTGCTTGGCCTTGGCAGAGAATCTGACAGTGAGAATGGAAAGAGATCCTCTGTTAGTCAGTTAACTGACAAATTAATTTAGAGCCAGAAAACATCATAGGCCTGCTGGACTCTCCTTTTCACAGCACCTGATACAAAGGAAGTTCTCAATAAATGTTTGTCATCGTTTTAATAGGAGTACTAACCATGATACTTATGATCATGGCCATTGTTGTTATTCTAATGAACTATTCTGCTCGCTGGTGTCATTTTTTGAAATCCGTCTTTGCAAATCCCATGTTTCCATTGGCAGATGGTTTCTAAAAAATTATCCGGGAAGCTGTGGCCTTTCCAGGAAGAGGGATTGGACAGGCTCCTATCAGATCGGTATGGCTGAGTTGAAGACAGTATCGTCAGGAAGATAATACCGCCCTGCCTCCTAATTTTATCTGCAAGTTTGGAATGATTTGGTGTGAATTCCTGCCTAGCTTGTGTGGCTGGCTGGACGTGGAGAAGCCAGTTGCTGCTTGTAGCACAGGCTTCCTTGCCTGTGACATGAGAGGTCTCAATCTGGGGCTGCTGGTACAAAGGTTCACAGACAGACAAACATGCGTGGCAGACAGAACGCACACATCCATGAGAGCCTGGGTGGGAGACGTTAGCGAATGGTGGGGACCGTGGGGATTTAATGATAGGTCAGGTGAATAAAAAGCCCAGTGTGAGCCAAATGTGGCTGCAGGCTGCCTGTTTTCAATCTCGGGTCAAAATGTTTTCAATTTCCCTTAAAATTTTGTGAAATTGGTCTTGAATTCCGGCAGAGTAAGAATGCCTGGCACGTGATGGATAGACTCAGTTAATATTTGTTGAATAAATAAATGAAAGAGATATATAAAGGCATGCATTATATAAACATGCATGTATTTTGGGTAATCTCTTGTGTGTACAGAGGCACATACATACATATACATGTGTTTCTGTAAGGACATATGTATCCACGGAGATGAACTTCAATGTTCTCTAGTATCTGGAACATATATTCCTTTCATCTTCATCCTTAGAGCCCTCCCACTGCCAACCAGCCTAGCTCAAGTGCGATTTTGTAAGCTGTGAGCCCAAATAACACTTTAAAAAAAAGAAATGGAGGGGCACCTGGGTGGCTCAGTCTGTTGGGTGTCTTGGATTTCGGCTCAGGTCATGATCTCAGGGTCCCAAGATCGAGGCCTGTGTTGGGCTCCATGTTCAGCCAGGAGCCTCCTTCAGATTCCTTCTCTCCCTCTCCCTCAGTCCCTCCCCCTGCTCATGCACTCTCTGTCTGTCTGTCTGTCTCTCTAAAATAAATAAATAAATCTTAAAAAAAAAAAAGAGAAAGAAATGGAGGGATTAATGGAACCCAGATAGGGCTAATCAGTTAACTCACCGTAAACAAGATTTTTGGCTATCTGCGGTAAGATAAGCATTCCTTGAATTATGAATACCGGGCTGTGAAATTTGTTCTCGGTTCGAATTCTGGCTCCACACCTGAAAACCAGTGTGACCTCGGCCAGTTCGTGAGCTCTCACTATGCTACAAGTTTCTCATGAGTAAAACATTACCATAAAACTGGTTTTGAAGGCTGTGAAAAATCGATTGAGTGACATCTGAAAATCACTCAGTACAGTTTTCTCACACTGCAAGTGTTCAATGCTATTTGCCCACAAAGTGTAGAAATTTCTGCTCTTGAGGACGCAATCCATAGAAACTTGGTCAAAAATGTCAGGGGGGGAAACAAAGCCAGTAGCTACAGCAGAGAAGCTAAAGGAAACATGGAAACCAAGATATATAAGAGCCATTATCTCCAGGAAAGTAACATTAGTTGTGGAAAGAAGGGTTAACCAGCAGTTGGTTAACCCAGGGCCTTGGACAAATCACAGATCTTCTCTGTTCTTCCACCTTTTAACCTATAAGAAGGAGAGTGTGATGGCAGCTCTACCTACTCTTTAGGACCTTGGAAAGATTTAAGAAAATGGGCTTACAAGTACTTTGTAAGCTGGACAGCACAGAGGTTGTAAATATGTCATTACTAGATCTTAGCTGGACAGCTTACCAAGTTGAGTCATGACCGTAGTCAGGAGGCGAGTCTTCCAAATCCTTCTGGGGCTTAAGAAGTTTTCCGTTTACCAGTAATAGGAGGTTAACATTTACTGAAGGTTGGTTAGGTACCAGGCATGGTGCACTTAATCTCTTTGACTTTTCCTAATATCTATGAGATGAGTATTCTTACTGTTCCCGTTTTACAGTTGGGGAGACTGAGGGTCATAGTAGCCAAAGGATCGGAAGGAAATGGAGAGATCTCACACAGTTTCTCCCTCTGGTCTGTAGATTTGTGCTAACCATGATGAAGCATTTATATGATAATGGCAAATCAGACACAGTAAGGCAATATAGTAAGCTTTCCAGTTCTCTAGGAGTGAACTTTATTCAGTTTTAGGTATTCTGAGGTGAGCTTTCCTCCATTTGTTAACACATCTTTTCTTTCATAAAGTGTTGGTGAACGTGGATGGTAGTTCCTTTCTTTGAATGTCCCAGTTTGGCAAAATTAAAAGCCAGTTACCCTATGTCAGTCCTGCCAATTTCTTCTTTTTTGTGGGAGGAGGGGAGGATACTGATCCTCAAAATTCCGAATTCTGGGAATCCTTCATTTCCTATTACACCAGGAGCCGTTTCTGCCTTATTTGGTTGACGATGTTGTTTCTCCACAGGCAGAGGAAAATGTAAGGCCTGGAAGGAATATGAGAGGGAAGAAAAGGATGAACTGAATTTTCACCGAGGAGAAAGCATCGAGATCATCGGCTTTGTCGTACCCGGGCTTCAGTGGTTCATCGGGAAGTCGACACGCTCAGGAGAAGTGGGCTTTGTTCCCACCAGGAACATAGATCCTGAGTCGTATTCCCCGATGTGAGTATAGCGGAGGGGCCCCCTGGGATGTCCTGGGGTGGGGCGCCTTCCCCAGGGGCCCCGCCCCATGCTGAGCAGGGCTGCAGATGTGCTGCAGGGTTTCCCGGCAAGGTGGAGTCAGAGGAGCGCGTCCTGACCACTAAGGCTGCCACAAGGGGTGCTGGGAAGGAGAGGATGAGTGATCCGGGAATGAGTCAGTTCAGTTCTGTCCAGCAGGTGGTCCCTGAGACCTTCTTGTATGCGAGGAGAGAGGCAAACTCTGAGCCATAGGGCCTGCTGTTATCCCTGCAGGCATGGTATCAGTACTTGTAGTCTGCCTCTCACCCCAGCCAATCAAGGGGCTCCATTAAGGGAAGGGCACACCCAGGGACCTATAGATTACAGCTTAGTGAGAGGAGACACCCTCCCATGGAGGTCTGAGGAAAGCTTAATGTATGGCGACAGTGTGGGCCAGGATGATAGAGGGCATCCTTTCCTCTTTTCTGCCTCGGGTCTGGAAGGGCTAGTTCTGAGGAGCAGACCCATCCATGGGACCAGTGAGGAGCAGATGGCCAGCTTGGGCCGCCCACCCCTCATGGGGGAGCAGAGCTCAGGAATATTGATGGTGTCTCTGGGGTGGGCTTCCTGCATGAGGATAGGAAATTAAGAGGAAACCTGTGCCCTGTAAGTACCACACAGAACACAGACTTGGCTGCTAGCATGGAGACGTTGGGAAAATGAGGCCCCAGGATTGTTTAAGGCCTTGCACACCCAGATTAGAATGTCTTCCCTTGTACAAAAGAGCCACCGAAGAGAGTGAACCAACGGCAGAAGCTCCCTCTAAGCCTTGTCCTTTGTAGAGGGAGGAGACAGGTCATTTTCCCTACACAGAAATGTGGGAGCTCAAGTGACCTTAAGCAAGGAAGAGTGCTCACTGAGCCCCTACAGGATTATGGAGTGGATGGGAGATTATAAGCAGGAAAAGGGTGTCAGGAGAACTTTCATGAAATAGACAATATTTGAGTTCAACTTTGTAGGATGCATTTCAACAGATGGAAATGGGGAAAAGTGATCACAGGTAGGAAAGCGAGGGACTGTGTGACAAATGACTGGTGTTGGTTGAGAGGCAGGTTATGAGGAGGGCATTGGTGTGACAAAGGTCAGTGGGGCCAAGACGTGGCAGACAGAGAATGTCTGTTCTGGGCCTGGCAGAGAATGGGGAGCCACTGAGTGGAACCCTGGCTTTGAGTGAGGAGTGCAAGGGCAGGGGAGACCTGGAGGTAGGAGACCAAGGAGAAGATGCAGGCTGGCACTTGGGAAGGGGCGGGGGAATGGGAAGGAGAGGGCACGGCTAAGGACCAATCAATAGGAATTTAGAGATTCCAGGAGCTTCACAAATATAGATGCTGGTGTTCTATCCTCAGAAGTTCTATCTCATTGCTGTGGGTGGGGCCTGGCAGCCAGAGTTATGGAAGCTCCCCAGGTGGGGCTAATGGGCAGCCAAGGTGGGAACCACTGCTCAAAGCACCCCCTCATTTACTGCAGGGGCAAGGGAGGACCCCAGGAGTGAAAGGGCTGAACCCAAGGCCTTGGGTCTGGATCTCCAGAATCCCGATGTGAAATCTAGGTTTCTTTTTTGGCCAGCTCTGAAGCTGAGGTCCTGGTAAGAGAGAGAAAGAATAAACACAGAGATGTGGTGAGGAAGAACAATTTACAGAGCAGAGGAAGAAAGAATGTAGCCAAGGAGACAAAAGAGCAAAGGAGCTGCGTGAGTGGAAGGAAGGGGGTTGGGAGGGCAGTTAACATTGTTGCAGACTGCAAAAGGTAGAACAGGGCTGCCTGCTGAAAGGCCTTGGGGACTGGCCCCTGGAAGGTCACTGGTCATTGAGAGGTCAGTGGCCATTGGAGGGAACCTGGTCATAAGGGGGCAGAATAGCTTAATAAGCAGACTTCCAGAGCCAGACTGCCTGAAAGACATTCATGGCCACGTAAGTACATTGTGTGTCTCCATTGGCTTACCAGCTTGGTGACTTTGGACATGTTAATTGGTCTCTTTATACCTCAGGGTTCTCATCTGTAAAATGCTTATGATTATAGTATTTGCCCATAGGATTGTCAGGAGTTGACATGAGCTAACACATGTGAAGCACTTAGAATGGTGTCTGGCACAGTGTGTGTGTGTGTGTGTGTGTGACCAATATGCTCTAACTCTTCCTATGGCCATTCCTGCCATGGGGGGTCTTCTTTGAGAGGCAGTTTTAATAAGCATCAGATTTCATAAACTATATTCGGACCTCTGTACTTCCTACCTTGTCCCAACTCGCAATAATTTATACCACTAAATTAATTTGATTATCGTATTTTAAGAGGCTTAGTTGTAGGGGATCTACTCTTGCCATGAGGAACATTGCGCCCTGTACTGTCGCTGTGGTATGAGAACTTCTTATTTCTACAGTGTCTTCTGTTGGCTTCTCTACCTGGTCACCTTTGGCACCTGGTCACCAGAGACCACACATTGCCTAGGGAAGGGGAGGGTGAGCCGGGAGATGGGGAGAGGTGGAAGAAGGAGGGGAGAGGGAAGGTGGCTCATCGCCACCCCCCACCCCTCCAGTACTCTTTAGATCACACACCTCCCCAAAACACAGCAGTAAGAGAAAAAGCCTACTAACAACCTGGTCGCAGGCAGTGGCCAGGGTGTGGAGTCCTGGGAATCATTCTGTGTGCTATGCAGGTGGTCTGGCCACTGGGTGTCACTCTTAGTCTGTGTTCACTTGATACAAGGTTTCTGAAGAAGGTCCAGCATTTGATGGTCTCCATCCTCTTCCCACAGGCTCCCTCCCTGTGCTAGTTAGTATATTACTCCTTAAAGTGTACCCATTCATTCACTCACTCACTCTCTCACTCACTCACTCATCCGTCCATCCATCCGTCCGTCCATCCATCCATCCATCCATCCATCCATCTGTATTTATTTAACCAAATAGGCAGTCTTTTGAGAGTAAAATTTCTCAGAAGCTGTTTTGTGAGTCAGATTTAGTCTGTGCCTCTGACACGTGGGAAAGGGATCCTGTTTTTTACTTTGTGGCAGCAAAGTTGTGGGTTTCCTTTTATTTACAGCCCGTATTTCAACACCAGCTACCTGGTTTCACAGGAACAGCAGCTGGAAAACCAGTTGCTAAAAGGGGGCAGGCATTCTGTCTGACTAGACAGGGTATTTGTTTTGGCCAGAGTGCCTTTAGAGATTTAAGAGTTACTGATGGTGACAGAATGCCACACCTTTCCTTTCCTTTGGTTTTAGGCTTTTAAAAAGTATTTGATGTGTGTGTGTGTGTGTGTGTGTGTGTGTGTGTGTGTTGAGGGGAAAATGTCTTTAGATATAACTGAAGACCCCCTGTTACTCCTTCCTACTTTCATCCTGTGACCCTGATTCTTACTCAGGGAAGACTGGTTGAAGCTGATTTGTAACTTCCCAGTCATCATTCTGAGACATTTTAGAAACGGACATTTGTAAAAAAACCAAAACAAAAAATAAAACCAAACCAAAACAACACACACACACACCACACACACACACACACACACACACACACACACACGAGTATTGTGTATTTAAAAATATATATACATGTCTTTTTTTTTCTTGTAACTGGTCCCTTTTTTTTCAGTTATGGTAAATTTAAGACTTATTCACATTGTAGTAGATATGGTTCCTTTAAATAAAGTGTTATTTAAAGGAAATGTATGTACTTAAACTTGTAAATTAAAAAATAAAGAAGATTTGAAAAATTAATGCACTCAATACCAGAAAAAAGAACACAGGAGATTAGCTTGTAATTTATAGTATTAGAAGTTTGAAAAATTCTATGTTTCTTATATCCCCTCTTTTATTCTTCCTGTTGTTTATCTCTGTCTTCTTAATGATTCCATTTCTTGTGGCATCTATTTTTGCTGATGAGAAGTTTGCTGTTAGTCTTGTAGCCATTTCCGGGCAGGTAGGCAGCTTTTCTCTCTCTCTCTGTCTTTTTTTTTTTTTTTTTAGGTTTTTCTTACTGATATTTTGTACTATGATACATCTAGATGTGATATATTCTGGTACATATTTATTGTAAGGTGTCTCCCGTGTATCGTTTAGTAGTTATTTCGGTGAAGATCTGTGAGTTGCTGCTACTCTCGGTCTTTTGTGCTTGTTTGTCTTAAATATACTTAAAATATACTTGTGAATGATCATTCAGCTAAGTGTAGAATTACCTCTGAAGTGTAGGGAAAAATGACTATTAGTATAAAATTTCAAATCTGTTTTGCCAGGGTTTTGTCCTTTTCATTAATCCTTAGAGAAAAATAATTTTTCTTGCATTGACCGTCTTTATTGTTTCTTTGTTTTCTATCTCGCTAATTTCTTATTTATCTTTATTATTTTCTTCTGCTTTGTTTTTATTTCATTGATTTATGCCCTTATCCTTTCTGTTTAACTCTTTCATCCTGTAAATTGAACTGTCAAGTGGTAGATCACTGAATCCTGAAAGAAGGATCAGGAGAAATAGAAAACATGAAAAGAAAGGTTAAATCTAAAGGAATGGAGTCATGTTGAAATGATATTGTTTTTATTTATTTTGCTTAGGATGTGGTGTACTTCTTCAGTCTGAAGACTCATGTCTCTCTTCAATTCTGGAAAATTTTCAGTCATTCTCCCTTTGAATATTTGCCTCTCTCTCATTCTTTTTAGTCTCTCTTCTGGAATTCCTAACAGAGGTATGTTGGACTTGCCATTCTAGCCTCAGTCTTGCTTTATCAGTTCTTTTGTATTTTTCATCTTTTTGTCCCTCTAGGTGCATTCTGGGTGATTTCCTCCAAATAGTCTTGAGTTTCACTAATTCTTTCCTCTGCTGGGACTAAACGTGCTGCTGACCTCACTCATGTAGTTCTAAGTGTCCATGCCTTTATCTTCATTTCTAGAATTTCCACGTATACTTATTTCTGCTCATCAGGTTCCATATTTTCCCTGTAGCTTCTAGCCAGTCTTTCATTTCATAATTTTAACCACACATATTATAAATTAATCTTTAAATTGTTATTTCTAGTTTTTGTAGTGTTGATTTACCTATTTGTGCACCCGCTGGCCTTCACTGTCAGTAGTTCCTTTTCTTGTGTTTGTAGTTTTGGTTATGTGAACGAATTTTCAACATTTTACTTTTAATTTTTTTAAAAAGATTTATTTATCTATTGAGGGAGAGAGAGATCTCACGTTCAAGTGTGCGTGCACGGGGTGGGGGGGACAGGGCAGAGAAACTCACAGATTCCCCATGGGGCGTGAGTCGGATGTGGGGCTCCATTCCATGATCCGTGAGATTATGAACTGACCCGAAATCGCAAGTTGGACGCTTAACCAACTGAGCCACCCAGGCACCCTGAATTTTCAACGTTTTAAAAGATGGTCTTTGCAGGAAGACCAGACTGAAGAAAATATCCCGGTAGAGCAGTTTTGGCATTTGCTTTCCCTGGAAATTTAGGAACTTAGTGGTCCAGGGCTGGTTTTTTAATGTCAAGTTCTTTGATTGTACTTACACTGTCCAGTATAATTCAGAGCCCACACCTTCTTCTTCTTCTTCTTTTTTTTTTTAAAGATTTTATTTATTTATTTATTTGACAGACAGAGATCACAAGTAGGCAGAGAGGCAGGCAGAGAGAGAGGAAGGGAAGCAGGCTCCCCGCTGAGCAGAGAGCCTGATGCGTGGCTTGATCCCAGGACCCTGGGATCATGACCTGAGCTGAAGGCAGAGGCTTTAACCCACTGAGCCACCCAGGCACCCCAGAGACTACACCTTCTAATGGTGTAAGTCCAGGTGTTTGATTTTTTTCCTGGGGTCTCAGACAAATGGTAAGTGTGTCGTTGGCCAGTGAGTTTTCCCATCTCCTCTTCACAGAAGCTGCAGTTCTTGCCGCGGTCAGGCAATAGCGAGCTCATAGCTATGTAAGGAGCTCAGTTCAGCTTCCCTGCTTCGCCCGGACCCAAAGTCCCATGTCCTGTCCCTGGGTAGCATTACAGGGTGAGCCCCAGCTCTGAGGGCCAGGGTCCCAGCTGAGAACTCCCGGGAGCCTCTGGGCCATGTGCTGGTGTTTACCAACTTGACTTTGGTTTCATCTTTTGTTTCTGGCTCTCAGACATTTCCTTTTCTTTCTTTCAAGTTAAAGAATGTATGAAAATATTTATCCTTGTCACATTTTATCTACTATTTGTCTGTGTTTGTGGGTGAGAATAGCCCCCTGTGGAAGACCTGTATATTTCTAGAAGTCTTACTCTTCTAACCTCATTTCCATATTTGAAACACCCTAATGTAATTTGTCAGGCTTCTTGGACTCTTTCTAAATACCTGGGACTCAGGACATGAGCAGATCAGCTGTGAGGCAATGGGCCACAGAGGCTGAAGATCACAGTTTCTGTCTCAGCTTGACTGCTTGCTTGCTGTGTCACTCTCAGCACGCTACTAAATGAAATAGCAAATTCAGGAATGCTTTGCAAATTTTAAGCGTTCCACAGAAATTCGAAATCATATAATGATTTTATATAATCATATAATGATGATTTGAAATCCTCTAATGATTTCTTTCGCTCTCAGATGAGCTTAGTTGTAGATTTCAACCAGATGTTCTTCTGAGGATGGCTGCTCTCACGGTGCTGGGAGAGTCTGGAGATCTGAGGACAAATGTAGGTGGCAGAACATGGCACTCCCATCCCTGCCACTCCCTTAATTCTGCTTGAACTAGAGAAGTTTGTTGTTGTTGTTGTTTTTACCACTTCATAGCTACCAACTTTATTTTTCTGTGCCTCAGTTTTGTCCTCTGTAAAAAGGAGTAAGAATAGTACCAGCCTCATCAGGCAATTGTGTAGATTAAATGAGATAAGGGTGTCTGATTCGTAATAGGCTCCCCCCACCCTTCTAAAGACTAGCTGTTGTTACCTCTTGGGCTTCCAAGTTATTTTGGTTAAAAAAATGGTTTCTGAGGTTAATCCTCCACCCCTCCAACTTTATTTAGGCCTGAAAGAGATCTTAGAACTTGTTCAGGTGGACATTCTGGATTGAACGTTTTCTGAGGCACTTCTAGTTTTCACATTCTTTGATTCAATGACAAATGGTAAGTAAGCAAATTAGTCTTAACAATGAGTTTATTCAATACAGTGAGTATAAGGATCTCTATTATTTGTAGTCATTTCTCCTACCCCTTGACCTTCTTTCTACCCACTTCCCATCTCCCCTCTGAATGTCACATAATGCTATTGTTTTGTGCCATGGAATCAGAGGTCAACAGTTGTGAAAGGTTCTTTGGACCAGAGTCAAACTCTCTCCATTGCTTCTCTTGACTGTGTCACCTGTCCTAGTGTTTTCTTGAAATAACCCGACAAAGAAACATCTTTTAATGGCCTATTTTCAACCCTTACCTTGGGGTAGCGAATTCGTATTTCTCTATTAGAAATGGGCACCAGGTGGTCTCAAAGAAAGGGTACGGGTCAAGAGAAGGGACTTTGTTTTTTTCGAGAGATAGAGTTTTAACAGGAGGGGTGTTTTCATCTCCTTTTTGATCTGTTCGGCAGCCACGTAGCTTGTTTCTTCCTGATGGGGTGCTCAGAGCTCTTCTTCCCGGGCAGCAGAGATAAATACATTATACAACAGAGAGATGAGGAGTCTGGCTGTCACTTTGGCAAGCAGGTCCATGGCTTCTCTGTCCTTCACTGTGTCCTGGGCTGGAGAGAGAATGGGTGTGTCTGGAGCCTTGCACTGATCTGTATCCATGTCTTTTGTCTCAACACAGGAACAAGAGCTCTGCCTTTTTCAGTGACGAGGAAAGATGCTCTCTGTGGGTCCTGGGAAGTGACAGGAAAGCTGAGTGTGCCGGCTTCCTCCACACGCTTGCTCATACTGACATAGCGTCCGTCTACCGGCTTAGTGAGTGTTTGCTCCTTGGACCCCTCTGAAAGCTCAGCCCAGCGCTAGCATGAGAGGCCAGCCCTACTGAGCCTTCTGTTCTAACCTTGGAGAAGAAAACCTCCTGAGTTGTGGCTGAGGTCACCTCTTCTAGGGCTGAGGGAGGTCTAGGTCCCTGATGACAAAAGCAGGACCATAGAATGTTACAGCTTCTAAGAGGTGATTTCTCCTCCCATTTTACAGATTGGGAAACTGAGGCCCTGATGAATTTGTGCCTTGCTCCTTTTCTAGTCAGAACAATCCCTAGTCTACCACACTGCGCCCAACACAGACTGACGCTGGGCTGTCAGGGTGTGTTGACTTTGTGGGGGCTGGGACCTCAGTGCCGCCACTTCTCATCAGGGTCTGAATGATTGATTGAGTGAATGAATGCCACTCCCTTCCCTTACTTTGGGAGGGCCCACTGCACCGTGTCAGGAAGTGCATTCATCTTGTGACAGTGGCTGGAGGAAGGATTCGTGTTTCTCCATCTCTTCAGCGATGGCGGTACTGTGTCCCCCCGCCGTGGGGGCAGATTAGATGGGGCACAGTTCATGAGCACAGAAGAGAGAATCTGCAGAAGCAGCGTCAGGCCCGCTCCCTGGGGCAGAGGTGGGCGTCAGGGTCACCATGCACATTTGCGAGGAGCACCTAGCCGTGAACTTTCTTGCCACAAATAGACCACACCAACCACCAGGCTGAACCAGAAAGCTGAAGCTACGGGTACCGCCTGGGAGGGGGAGCTGAGGTCTGAAAATCCAGGAGGAATTTAAGTGTGCCTTGGGCACAGGCAGGCCACAGGCTTAGATCTAAGGGGTCCACCAACTGCTGATCCAATGGTAGGGGGAGATCTAGGGGCAGGTTTCAGGCAGCCCATTGCCTCGTATGTAAAGACCCGGAGGGCCGCTCTGATGGATGCAGGGCGGAGCCTAACGGTGACGCAGGCGTCTCCCGGCACCATGGCAACCAGCAGAGGGGCGTCCTATTGGTAAACTCCAGCTTCGCTCCGCCCTGGGGAAGACGTGCCCTTTCTCCCAGAGGAAGCATCTTTTGTAACTCATGCCCATTGCGTCCTCGGTGGCCCTGGCTTGGAGTGAGCTTGGCACGTGTTCTCAATGTCAACGAGGGCCAGGGCACAAAGCCAGCTCCCTAGCTCTGCCATGTTTGGTAGCGAGCCCTTCTACCTTTGCAGGTTACAGATCTCAAGTAGCTACAACGATTCTTAGAGCAGTTGACCTGGTGCGGGGCCCGCTGTCCGCAAAGCTCACCAGAGAGCCCAGAGTGAGGGCATAGGCGGCTGTTGCATCTTGGCCGGGGAGAGGTAGAATCTCATTTCCAGCAGCCCCTGTCCTGGGAGCCGGGGCGGGGGTGGGGGAGGGAAGAATGGGGGGGCATGAATCCGGCCTTCCCCTCCACGGTTAGGCTTCACCTCCACAGTTACATTCAAGAGGGTTCGGTTCTTTGCTGCCAAACCCAAGGTGTCTTCTTGGTTCTCACCTAGCCTTCTTCTGCTTTTGTAATGTTGGGTGGCTGTCCCAGAGCCACCTTGATCTCTGTGTCTTTTCTTTCCTCTCAGAGTGTGCCTTTGCTGCCTCCCACCTGCTGGGAAATGCTGGTGATTCTCCGACTCCTTCACAAACTCCCCTCCCCCAGCTGCTTTGCCTTCTTGCCCAAATGCTTCTCCTACAACTCGGACCCATTCCTCGTGACACGCTGGGGTTCCTAAATCTGTGTTTGCAAGTCTCAGCCTTTTCCCTCTGGCTACAGATCGACTTCCTTCTTGGCCTAGAGCTCCTGTGAGTCCCTCAGATGCAGAATGTCTGAAACTCTGCTCCAGACTGTCCCTTCTTCCACCTCATCCCCTGAAGTCACTTCAGGGGACAAAACTGGGACCCTTAGAGGCCCCTTCACTCTCTTTTCTTCATTAGTCACTTTTGCTCATCTAGTCTTATGTCGTATTGTGCAGTGGAGTCCCTGGCAGCTGAGAGGATGGATGAGGCATGAGCACATGTAAAGGGGAGGCGATGCCACAGGTTTTGTTCATGACTCTGATGTCAGTAGCTGGGAGATTTGGGCCTTCGGAGTCTGTCATCCTCCTCATACCCCCACCTCCTGGAAAAGAGTTCATGTTTCTAGCTCTCTGTTTTTCTTTTCTGGCTCTGAGTCTTATTTCTCCCTCAGTTCCCAACTGTAAAATGAGCAGCTTACCAAGAAGCTCTGCAGGTCCCTAGAGGTGTTAAACTGATGATGGAGAGAATTCTGCCCAGTTTCTCAGAGAAATTTAAACACAGAGTGTCCCCAGGAACCACGGGGCTGGGGTGCATCTGCAGGCATGGGCACGGTGGCCCATTCTGACCTAACACCAGCTCTGTCCTGCATCTCTATCCAGGTGGGTTTGAATCCATCCAGAATCTTCCAAACGATCTAAGTGGTGAGTAGAGATCATGCTGAACCTGACCTCCCGTCCTTCAGAACAGCATCCTGTCCTCTTGCCAGGAGCTGGCCGCCACAGTTGCATGTGCTCCCATTGCTCAACTCTGCCTGTCCCTTACAGCATCCCAGCCGGAAGGCTTCAAGGAGGCCAGGCCTGGCAGAGCCTGGGAGGAGCATCAGGCCATGAGCTCCAGACAGTCCAGCAGCTCTGAGGACTCCAGCCTGGAGGAGGAGCTCCTCTCAGCTGCCTCGGACAGCTATCACTTGCCTGAGCCCGATGATCTCGATGACCCGGAACTGCTTGTGGACCTAGACACTGGTCAGGAAGAGGAGGAGGCAGAGAACTTCGCCCCCATGTTGGCTTTTCTGGATCACGAGGGTTATGCTGACCACTTCAAGAGCCTCTATGATTTCTCCTTCTCTTTCCTCACGTCTTCTTTCTACAGCTTCTCTGAGGAGGACGAACTTGTGGCCTACCTGGAGGCCTCAAGGAAGTGGGCCAAGCGGGGCCGCAGGACCTGGGCCCACGCCCGGCTCTGCTTCCTCCTCGGCCGGCTGAGTGTCAGGAAGGTCAAACTCTCTCAGGCCCGGGTGTACTTTGAGGAGGCTGTGTACATCCTCGATGGGACATTTGAAGACCTATCCCTGGTGGCTGCTCTGTACACCAATCTGGCTGCCATCTATCTGAGGCAGAGGCTGAGGCATAGAGGCTCAGCTCTGCTGGAAAAAGCAGGGGCCCTGTTGGCCTGCCTGCCTGACCGGGAGTCTAGTACCAAAAATGAGCTCGATGTGGTGGCCTACATACTACGCCAGGGCATTGTGACAGGCAGCTGTCCCTTGGAGGCCAGGGCCTGCTTCCTGGCCATCCGATTGCTCCTAAGCCTGGGCCGCCATGAGGAAGTCCTGCCCTTCGCCGAGCGCCTGCAGCTCCTCTCCGGACACCCTCCTGACTTGGAGGCTACAGCCACCGTCTTGAGTTTTCTGTACGATAAGAAATATCTCCCACACCTCACAGTGGCCTCTGTCCAGGAACGTGGCACCCAGAGCGGCCAAGGGATGTCCCTTCCAATTTGGCAGGTCTACCTGGTTCTCCAGAACACCACCAAGCTCCTTGGAGTTCCCTCTTCAAGCTGGGGTGAAATTTCTGCCCTGGCCTGCCCAGCACTCAGGCAGGCACTGGCTGCCTGTGAGGGGCAGGCCAGTTGGAGCACCCAGAGGGCCCTGTGCCTCATCCTGTCCAAAGTGTACCTCCAACATAGGTCTCCCGATGGGGCCATCCACTACCTGAGCCAGGCCTTGGTGCTAGGGCAGCTGCTGAGTGAGCAGGAAGCCTTCGAGTCTTCCCTCTGCCTGGCATGGGCGTATCTCTTAGCCAGCCAGGCAAAAAAGGCTATGGACATCCTCGAGCCACTCCTATACTCCCAGAAGGAGACAGAGAGTATCACCCAAAAGGGGGTGGTCCATAACCTCCTGGGACTTGCCCTTCAAGGTGAAGGCCGGGTGAACAGGGCAGCCAAGAGCTATCTCCGGGCCTTGAACAGAGCTCAGGAAATGGGGAATGTGCGTAACCAGGCGGTGACTTTGGCCAATCTTGGCCACCTGACCCTTAAGTCCTGGGCTGAGCAGCCAGCCAAGGACTATTTCCTGCAGGCCATCCGACTCTATTCTGAACTCCAGACCAGCATGGAGACGGACATGGAATTAGTACAGGTCCTTCTCTGGTTGGCCCAAGTCCTGGTGCATGGACGCCAGCTGGCCAGTGGCCGCCTTTGTTATGAAATGGCATTGCTGTTTGGCTTAAGGCATCGACACCTAAAGAGTGAGTATGTCCTGTGCTACTGGGAGCTTTAGAGAAAAGTGTGAGAGCACGCTTTGCCCTCATCCTATCTCAAGCGATCTCATTCATGTCCCCGCTTTATGTTCAGGTCAGCTTCAGGTCACCAAATCCCTCTGCCATTTCTACAGCTCTGTATGCCCAAACCCCAAGGCCTGCATCACCTACCACGAGCACTGGCTGACCCTGGCTCAGCAACTCAGGGACCGAGAGATGGAGGGAAGGCTGCTGGAGTCCCTCGGGCAGCTCTATCGGAACTTGAACACGGCCAGGTGAGTCGGGGCTTGGGAACGGGCCTAGACACAGCTCATCTTCCTTCAAGAGAAATAGCATTCTCTTCCTCTGGAAGTAAAGTTCGCAGGCTCATGGTGTGTTTATGGCATCATGGAAAAGAGCGTGGGCCCTGCGGCCACTGCACGGTGTCCTCTCTCACTGGTTAGCTGTGTGCCTCTGAGCAAGCTACTTCATTTCGCCCTACCTCAGCTTCCTCATCAAAGACAATAATGGTGGCATCTACACTCTAGTATTCACATGGGGAATAAATGAGTCAACTCCCATGGAACACTTGGGACAGGGCCCGATCCGTAGAGGCGGCTCGGTGACATTGACTGGATTACAGCTGCTTGGGTGTGTCCGTAACCAGTATCATGTGACTCTGGCTGAGGGTCCCTAAATCGGAGAGGTGCCAGTTACACCCGGGCTGGCACCCTCAGGAGGCCTTGGTTACCTGAGGACGGGTGGGTATTAGAGAACAGCCCAAAGTAAATCAATGCATGGGCAGGCGGGGACAACTTCATTGTAACCAAGTTTGATTTGGAACCTTCCCTCTAAAGTGAAGCCGGAAATGACAGAACGGAGTTTATTTCCACCGTTTCGTGAAGAGACTTAGGTGAGAATGGCAGCCCTGTGGCTAAGTCACAGATTCAACTCCCAAAGGAGTGCTGACTTTTAGCTTGGGTTGAGCAGAATTGTCTAACAGCTCCGTGAACGATCCTTTGTGACTGACTTTTCAGCCCTCTCTTCAAAAGGCTCCTTTGTGCAAAATATACCAAAACGTATCTGTTCCACTGGGCAGCTTCTTTCAACCTCTTGATCTTTAAATTATTCCCATGTGAAGTATCCCGCCATGTCCTGCTGCCTTTCTCTTCTCTCATCTCCTCCCTGGCTGGGATCTGCTTACCCCTCGTTCAGTTCTGCTTCCCAGCAGGCCTTTAATTGATTCCATTACACTCTGCATGGTTTACGAGATGTCCGACTTCATTTGGCAACAGATTAGCATCGTGGCATGGTATTCATAATTATGAAGGACATCTAAAACAGAGCCGGGATCATTGCTACCAGAGAGGTGGTTGAGAAGAAGCTAATTGAATGACAAGTGTTGCTTTTCTAGGCAATGTGGCAACCTTGGGCCCCTGGACAACCAGACTGCTAATAATCAGATAACAAATTCTCTCTCTCTCCCTCTGTTCTCCTCACTCTGTCTCCCTCACCCTTTCCCTTTCTTGCAAGAATCAAGTGTCCTTCAAATCTCCAAGTGTCTCTGCCTTCTGTTCTGGGAAGGGAGTTGCAGATCCTTACAGCATGGGAGGGGACAGGATGTGTGGCCCCAGTGTGACACTGCTTTCATTCTAGGACACCCTTTGAATGTCCTTTTATGGGGGAATGGGTTTTTGGCCATCCTCATTCCATTGTTCTGGAAGTTGATTCAAATGGGGATCTTTAACTCTAATCTTCTATAAGTCTAATCTCTGAGGTTTTGCTTGTGTAATTGGGAGGACGTAAATCTCCCCTGCTCCTGCTTTACCCCCAGTGTGAGTGACCTGAAGAAGTAGATGGAGAAGTGCCTCGGGTGTCAGAGGAAACCGTGCAAACAAAAGGTCATTATTCCTTTACAAGAAGCTCGGTCCATCGGGGAGAACGTGCTATGAGTCTACACTTACTTAGCATGTATAAATCATCTCTTCCTACAGGGTGCCCGGCAGACACAGGTAAACAGTATTTGCACACACCTGGAGGAGTTACTGTAATTTCACTGTAAGCTTCCTGGTAGCTGAGATAGAAAGGGGAAAGCCACAAGAGGTTCTCACCATCTGATTAAAAAAACAAACAAACAAAAAAAAAAAACCCCAACAGAAACAAATGTATTTGTTGGAGCAAATGTTTTTCTGGCCCTGATTTCTAGGGGATATGCATGAAGTGGGTCTTGATATACAGACAGATTTCTTCAACTAAACTCTCCCAGTGAGGTTTCCATCCTCATGAATCTCAAAAGCAGCAAACAAACACTCCTGGGCGAGGTGGTAGGCATCTGTGGGGGCAGATGTGGAGGGAAAGAAGAGGACACTTTCAGCTGAGGGTTGGGGATCTGTCACAGAAGTCTTCATGAAGGTGGTGACATTTGAGGAGGGCCATGAGGGACAAGTAAGATTTTGGAAAGTGGAGGAGGGTAAGAGAACAAGCATTTTGGGTGGAGGGACCAACAATAGCTGTGGAAAGGTGGGGACACATTTGGAAGGCATTCTGTAGGTTTGAGGAAGGAGGGTGTTCAAGTGGATGTGGGTAGTGGAGGAGAGAGAGGCCTCCAGCCCATGACCGAGGAGGGAGTGTGGGGGTGGGCTGGGGTGGGGAGCAGTGGGCCTCCAGACTGGGACAGCAAGCAGCCATAGTGAAAATGGTGGTGGTAATGGTGACTGATGCGTTCAGTGAGCACATGGCGTTTGCCAAGCAACGTGTACTCTCAGGATAACTGCGTGGGGCACAGGGAACTGTAGGAACAGAATGAAAGAAGATGATGTGGCCCAGCCTTTGGGGTTTTGCTTTGGAACACTTTGCTGTCCCTTTGTCCAGTACCTTTAGAGTCTGGCTCTCTCTGCCTCCAGGGTGACAACTGTAGGAGCTGGTGTTTTTGATCTCTCAAAACACAGTCCTTGGGGATCTTGTTTTTTGTGTTCAGGTGACATAATGCAGACTGTACCTTGTTCTAGAGCTGAACCAGGTGGGATCCATGGGAATTCTGAAGCGCTATTGAATCCATGCAATAAGAATTTACTGAGCATTTACTATAGCCCAGACACCTGACAGAGAGATATGGTCCCTGAGCTCACAACGCTTACAGACTAGTTCAAGAAATTGACAATATTTATGTCCATATTCACCAAAGGTATCCTATAAATGGCGGTAGGTGCCACGGAGGACGTGCATGTTATCTTTAGAAAGAAGACATGCCTGGCATGCAGTAACACCTCACAAAGTAATAGTTCTTTGCACATGAATATATCCGTAGCCCAGAAGTCATTAATCCTGGCTTTTATTCTCATTCTTATGCTCCTTATTCCCTTGGAACAAAAAAAGGAAATGCCTCACCATTTGGTTTTCAGTGTAACGAACGCAACCAATCACGGACATTTCTGTAATCCCAGGCAAGGAAAGAACTGCTTTCACTGATCTGTCCTCATTTGCTCACGAGGCTAGGACACACTTCACCACCCCACTTCTGTAGGTGAGGAAACTTTGTTCAGGGTTTGAAGTAGCTTGTGTTCTTCAAAACTTCCAGGTTGTTGGACTGGTAAAAGAAGAAGAAACCTGGGGCACCTGGGTGGCTCATATCATGATCTTGGGGTCCTGGGATCGAGCCCGAATCGGGCTCTCTCCTCAGTAGGGAGCCTGCTTCCCCCTCTCCCTCTGCCTGCCTCTCTGCTTACTTGTGATCTCTCTCTCTCTTTCTGTCAAATAAATTAAAAAAAAAATAAAAAAAAAAAAAGAAGCAGAAACCTTAACATAGGCTGGTTTCGGAGCCCACGATGGAGCCCTGCTTGAAGGAGTGTGTGGGGTTCTGGAGTGAGATTCTCAGGGTCACACTCTGGTTTAAACAGCATTTATTACCCGGTCCCTGTCACTTACCCTTTCTGAGCCTTATTTTTCCCATGAGAAGAATGGATGTAATAATGTTACTGCGCGCCTAGTGTTGCTGTGATGATTACATGCGGTAATGCATGCTGAGTGCTCAGTAAGTATCAGGGTACAATTACTGTCACGTATTGCGAGACAAAACCGCAGAGGGCTCAGCGTAAAGCTTTAGAAATGAACAGTGCAAACTTGGACAAGATAGAAAGTCCCCCCTGGGTTTCCTTATTTGTATAATGGGCTAAAGTCCCTTGTGGTTTAGTGTTTCTGAGGTTTACATGGGAGAACGTATGCTGGAAATTCATATGTCATCCCTTGGCACAGGGTCAGCCCTTGGCAGGAGCCGTTCTTATTATGGCGATGGGGCAGGACCAATGAGTGAGGGCTGGACCTGGAGGTCAGATGGGCGCTCATTCAGGTGGGGCAGGGATCTGGAAAGCCCCGGTAGGGGAGGGAAAGAGGAAGTCTGGGGATGCAGGTACATCAGAGTCACTTGGCCACAAGTTCATGGCTGAGGGCCAGGTGGGAAGGAAGGAATAGGACCTAGCTGTAATACTAGACCCAAAACTTAGGGAAAGGAGAAATGGGAAACAGAGGACTTAGGATTGGAGAAGAGGAGAGATACCCTGACAGGGCCTAGGCATAGGTGGCCCAGGAGTGCACATTTGGGATGAAGGCTATCCCCCCACCCCGCCCCCTTCCCTGCCCCAGCAGGCTCCTTACTTCTTTTGATTTGGGAACTAAACCACACCTAGAGCCTGTGGCAGGCAGGGCTGAAGGAACTGGGACATTGAGCCATTCCAGGCCAAGCCAGTGGGTGACATGCCACAGCTACTGGCATATGCAAACGAATGGGGTGACAAAGGCTGGCGATGGCTGGCATGACAAGACCAAGGAGACTGGAAACCACCTCCCATGTCCAGAACTTAATGTGTGTTTTTATTGGACATCATGGGTCAGGTGTACATGCTGGTGGGAGGCACGTTGCATGCACAAGAAGTCTTGATGGTGCTGTGTGAGTAGCTAGGCTTCTGTAAGTCCTTCCTGCCTTTATTGGGGGTTTCTTGGAAATACTGATCTCTCATCAGCAGTCATAGTGAGCTTGGAGAGAAAAGGTCTAAGAAGCAAAGTTCCTCTCTTCTTCTGTAATTGGCTTCTTTGCTATAACCCAAATCTTGCTCCCTGGGGGTCTGGAGAAAACAACCATAGCCCAAGGGTCTCCCAGAACAGCAAATGGTAATAAAGAAAAGCAGAGCAGGAAATAGGAGGATGTGATATATGTGTTCTGTCTTCATCAACTGTTCCAGTGGGAGTGGGAAGAGCAGCTCTTGGAAACTGTGCTTGAGGTCTGGGAGGGGGTGGTACGAAGCAGGCAAGAGAATAACAGGGCTTCAGTGATAAAAGAGTGTTTGTCCTAGCTCCACCGGGGAGGCCAGTGAACAGCCCAGCATCGCCTGCTGCTTTCAGCTCCTGGCGTGGTCTCAGCAGCAAGTTTGACGTTCTAACACTTGAGAGAGGGTGGCCAGTGCCCATCCTGGATGTCATACTGGGAGCTATGCAGTGGGGAAAACCTGATTTCTTTCTTCTCAAGGCTTCCAAGGGCCAAACAGCTGGCACTTTCTCTAGCAGGCCAATAGCTGCCTCTTCACCAAGATAAATCAGGAAGTTGAAGGCGATGCTTGTTTCCATCAGTGTGCACGAAGGGGCTGGGGTCGAGCTGTCCATCATGAGGTTCAATGAGGACCTCCTAACTCTGAGTGTTCATACACTCAGTTGATGAGGACCAGTGTTTCTAGAAGGATCTGTATGGTTTGGAGTAGTGGTTCTCAGACTTTAACAATAACAGACAATAACCTCAGTGCATTACAAATCAGATTCAGGGCTTGCATCGATAATTATTAGGACTTAGTGAGTCTGAGATAGATCTAGGGGTCTGTTTGTTTGTTGTTGTTTTTTTTTTAAGATTTTATTTATTTATTTGACAGACAGAGATGATAAGTAGGAAGAGAGAGAGAGAGAGGGAAGCAAGCTTCCTGCCGAGCAGAGAGCCCGATGCAGGGCTCTATCCCAGGACCCTGGGATCATGACCTGAGCTGAAGGCAGAAGCTTTAACCCACTGAGCCACCCAGGCGCCCCAGGGGTCTGTGTTTTTAATAAACTCCCAGATAATGCTGCTGCTGGAGCTCCATGAGTCTGAGAGGAGGGTAGGCACTGTGGGATGAGGTCTGGGCTGGGACTCAAGAGAAGGGAGTTCTACCCCTGGATCTTCCCCTGAAGTGTTGTGCAACCTTGTGCAAATTACTTCCCACCCTTGGGCCTGTTTCCCTATAACATAAGGGGTTGGGTTGGATCTTGCAGTCAAGTTGTTACTGAGCTTTGACAAAATGCTCCCAGAGTCTCCTAGCTACTGTGGTGTGTCAATGCACTGGGATCACTTTGCCTGTGTTTGTATGTTCGAAGATCTTCTGGGTGATTCTAATTGCTGCTGGAACAGAGAACTACGAGATGATGTTCGATGTTCCTTCTTGTTCTAGGATTCTAAATCTAGAATTAGATTACCTGTGCCTCATATTGTCATTAATGCCTGTCATGGGAGAAGAGTTTTCTGCCCAAGACAATTTTCCAGATAATTAGAGTCCTCCATTAAGCATCAACCTTTTAAAACTTTTGCCCTTCTTTGATTTTTTCTTCTTAAACAAAACATCAGCATCTTTTTGAGGATTTAAAGTTACCACCATGGTCATTTGTTCATGCGTTTGTTCAATAAATATGCATTTGGCATCCCCTATATGTTATAGGTGCTTATGGGAAAATCATAGCTTTCCCCAAAGTGCAGTCGAAAGATGGATGGACCATGGGCCTTACTAATGAAAGTGACAACTAACATGAGCATTCATTACTGTTACTTACTCTGTGGGGGGGGGGGCACTGTTCTTGGCACTCCAGTTTCTCCATCCCATTTAATTCTTCCACCAATCCTCTGAGTCAGGTACAATGATACCCTCATTCTCTATATGGGGAAACTAAGGCACAGAAAGGTTTTCTGTTTTGTTTTTTTTTAATATGTTCTCAAGGTTGCACAGATGTTTGAGGCAGAGCCAGGATTCAAATCAGGGCCCAACCTCTCTGGATGACCAGGGTTAATGTTGCTTCCTCCAGAGCCTCAGTTTCCTCTGGTGCTGAATGACTCCAAGGCCCCTTGGAGGGGTCCCTTGACTCACAGCTAATGGGTCTGTGTCTGTCCCCCCAGGTCTCTCAGGAAGTCTCTCACCTGCATCAAGGAGAGCCTGCGTATCTTCATTGACCTTGGGGAGAAAGACAAGGCTGCTGAGGCCTGGCTTGGAGCTGGGCGACTCCACTACCTCATGCAGGAGGACGAGCTGGTGGAGTTGTTCCTGCAGGTAGGCCTCCTGCAGAGCTCACCTGCCCATCTTGGCCATTGGAGGAGACAGATCTACCTTCCAAAGTGACCAGATGTAGCTAGAGAGTGGTGATATCCATGCTAAGCCCTTGGAGGGTCGACCCTGGGATGTTCCATGGGCAGAAGATAGAGACCAGGGTGGTATGATGACTGGCAGTCCCTGAGTCCCAGATACCTGTATGAGCTCTCTAAGAATGTGGTAGGAGACTCAGTCATCTGTCATGTCAAGTAGATCTATTTTTGCTGAGCTCAACACACAACTTGACTTTGGGGTTTTGCTGCAATATGAGGCAAGGTTGATGTGTGCAAGGCATTAACATTATCGTCCTCTTCTAGTCTTTTTTGTTGTGTTCCTTTAATACCTGAGTGTAGTGATTAAAATTCTGGGCTTTGGAGAGGGACAGGCCTGGAATCCAATAACAGGGCCATCAATTCTGGACATGTGACCTTGGGCTTGCTACATCAGCTGTCATGGGACCTCAGTGTCTTCATGGACAAAGTAAACCCAGTCTCTTAGGGTAAGGTTTAGGTGCGTCACTTGCATAAATGCCTATGCGAAGCAAGCATTCACTAAATGCTTGGGACTTAGTAAATTCTTTTTTTTTTTCATTTTCTCATTGTGCTTTATTTAATAATTCCCCAATGACAAATCATGTTATGTGCCTTTTTGTGTCCTATTGACCATTTTTATACTTTCTTTTATCTGCTCAAGAATTTTTCCCATTCTTTTATTGATGTGTTTTTATTATTGATTTTTAAAAGTTCTTTATATGTCATTCATGAAACCCCTTTATTAGATGTATGCATTGTGAATGTTTTACAATTACTTGATTTTTTTCTTTTCTTTTTTTATTTCTTTTTAGCGTAACAGAATTCATTGTTTATGCACCACACCCAGTCCTCCATGCAATACGTGCCCTCCATAATACCCACCACTTGGCTCCCCCAATCTCCCACCCCCCCGCCCCTTCAAAACCCTCAGATAGTTTTTCAGAGTCCACAGTCTCTCATGGTTCATCTCCCCTTCCAATTTCCCTCAACTCCCTTCTCCTCTCCATCTCCCCATGTCCTCCATGTTATTTGTTATGCTCCACAAATAAGTGAAACCATATGATAATTGACTCTCTCTGCTTGACTTATTTCACTCAGCATAATCTCTTCCAGTCCCATCTATGTTGTTATAAAAGTTGGGTATTCATCCTTTCTGATGGAGGCATAATACTCCAGAGTATGTATGAACCACATCTTCCTTATCCATTTGTCCGTTGAAGGGCATCTTGGTTCTTTCCACAGTTTGGCGACCGTGGCCATTGCTGCTATAAACATTGGGGTAGAGATGGCCTTTCTTTTCACTACATCTGTATCTTTGGGGTAGATACCCAGCAGTGCAATGGCAGGGTCATAGGGAAGCTCTATTTTTAGTTTCTTAAGGAATCCCCACGCTGTTCTCCAAAGTGGCTGCACCAACTTGCATTCCCACCAACAGTGTAAGAGGGTTCCCCTTTCTCCACATCCTCTCCAACACACGTTGTTTCCTGTCTTGCTAATAAATGGTATTTTAATATTATTATTAAAAATCTATTATTGTTAAAAATCCCTTGGATTTTTTCTTTTTAATCATCATTTCTGTTATCTGCATAATGCTGACATTATGATGTTATATATTATTTGTTCCATTGAAAATATGCCAGTTATCTTTTCTTCCTTCTCATTTCTTATTTACTCCCTTATTATTGCCCTTATTACTAAGCTCACACAAACCCACGTCCACGGAGTCTTAACTGTGGCTGTGTGACATTGAGTGCGAGCTCACTGTGCACAGGGGCTTTGCAAGCACGTCACATACCTGCTGTAGTTGAACCCTCATTCCAAATGTAGCAGGAGTTTCTACTCAACTTCCCATTTTATGGATGTGGCTCAGTGAGCCTGAGTAACCTACTCAAGGTGATGCAGCTGGTACGTTGTGAGAACTGCACACAGACATTGTGACATAATGCCTTTGCTCTCAGTCTCTGCATTTTTCTGCCGTGGGATGTTAGAGCTGGAAGGGCTTTCGGAGAGCAGATAATTAGGTCTCGCCTTTCCCTCTCCAGGAGGAGAGGCCCAGAGGGAGCCATGGGGTCGTGTGTGTTGCTCAGCAGCAGCACCTCCAGATGGCAGGATCCCATCTCCTCGCCTGTTCCACTGTGTGGCCATGTGGGGTCTTGCCCCATTGACTTCCTGCCCAGGCCCAGTCCCAGGCCTCCACAACCCCAGACTGCCGCCTGCTGTTCTGTGGGGCCATTCTTGACCTCAGGCTCTCTGAGGTCCCATAGTAGTGCTGCAGATGTTCTGGGGTCCATCCCTCACTTGAACTTCGTCTCCGAATTCTGTTTAGATGCAATATGGAAGTGTCTGAGAGAGAAAGAGCTCCTGGGTGCCAGGAGAGGGGTATGGGACTGGAGGGCACCAGGATGTCTTTACCACTAACTATTATGTAAACACGGTTTCCTTCGCCTTTCTGAGCCTCAGTTTCTCCATCTGCGAAGTGCAGGTGTCGGATGAGATCACTGTTTTCCAAACTGCAGTCATTTATAGGCGAAGTTCATGGCTTGGCCATGTTCATGTATTTTCTGTATTGTTACTATTTTCTTTGACTCAACTTCAAATCAACTTAGTTTTTTACACTAAGTAACACTATCTGAAGTCACAGGTGTGAATGTATTATTCAGCTTTTCCTCTAAAACACATCAAAATAAATACTGAGCTATTAAAACATAAGATGTTTGTCTATGTACTGCTCAAAACTGTCTCTAGGTCTCCTAATACCATCATACCATGATGGAGAAATGCTGGACTAGGGGGTCGCAAAGGTTTCCTGCTGGTCCTGTGAGTGTGGAGGACAATTCAGCATTTGGAGGTTGTGAGCAGAGCGTTAAACCAGGTGGTTAGGATGTCACTCTGGCCACTCTGTGCATATTTGGAAGGCTTCTCTGCCTTTGACATCTGTCTCTGTCCCATCCAGGCAGCCATCCAGAAGGCCTTGAAGTCTGAGGAGCCCTCTCTGGCTCTCAAACTCTATGAAGAAGCAGGTGATGTGTTCTTCAATGGGACACGCCACAGACACTGTGCCATGGAGTATTATCGAGTAAGTCCTGGGCTGTGCCATGCACCCACCTGGACCCTGGAACAAATGTGGGCAGGGCCACGTGGCCTGGGGTCCCTGTCCCCTCTCATGCTGGGATTCCTTTTTCTTTCCTTCCTCATCCAGTGCCCATGCGCTCTTCCTTTTTCCAATCAATAGGCTCTCAAAGAAGGGGTCGATAAACTCTGTCATTCCTAGATTTGATAAATTGTCCTTTCTGGCAAAACACACCAAAATAATTACACCTCTTGGGTATGCCATACTTCACCATTTCTGGCATAGTTCTGTGTTTACCAGAACATTCCTGTGTACCACTGGTGGCATGGTGGGAGATGACGGTTCCCCAGATGAATACTTTTGTTTTATTATGTTTTTATCAAGTGTGCATTCACATATGTTTTAAAAATTAAAAGTGTGTAACACTAGCACATCAAACCCATGACTTCACAGATATTATTGTCAAAGATGAGGTAAAGTAGTAAAAGAGAGTTGACTTAAAAATAATAGTAATTAAATAGTTGTGCATATGTTAAGCAGATATGTCAAAATTGTAATTGTTCATCACTGACTGAAGGTTGGAAACCTCAGGATCTTATTTGGCCCTAAAATTTCATTTATGCATTCATTTGCTTATTCAGATCTTTATTCAGTCATCAAGCATTTATCAAACACCCAGGACATGCCAGGCACTGAGCTAGGGGTGGGGAGAACAAGAAGCATGTCCCTGGCTATTGAGCTAGTCATTTTCATATGCACTTTATAGAAGAGAGAATTAAGTCTAGAGAGATGAAGTGACCTGCCTACAATTCTATCATAATAAAAATAATAGAAATGACCATTTGTTGGGCACTCTCTGACACCATGGGCATACCCCACAGATGGCACTGTGGGTGCTAATGGATCACGTGGTTGGGAGGTGACTACATTCCCACGTGGCCTCAAGAAATGTCATCTTCCTTTTCCCCATCTGCGTTCTTCTGGTCTTAGGAGGTCTCATGACCTTCAGTTCTCCTACTTCTAAAATCTGGGCAGAGCAACCAAGAGCAAGGACCAGGAGAGTGAGCTGTGAAGAGCCATGCATGGAAACACAGCCATCCCCCCAACCCTTACCAGCAGAACGTAAGCCTCCTAGAGTATGGTCTATACCAAGGATTCTTAGCTGGACTAAGCTTCCACGTGCTTCTGTTCTCAGGCTGGGGCCATTCCTTTAGCGAGGAGGATGAAGGCCATGAGAACAGAGCTCCGGGTTTTCAACAAGCTGACAGAGCTGCAGATCAGCCTAGAAGGCTATGAGAAGGCTTTGGAGTTTGCCACCCTGGCGGCCAGACTCAGCACTGTCATAGGTAGGTGGTCCTGATGGTCGGCCATATTGAATGAGAGGGCTAACGGCTTATCCAATGGGGGAATGACGAAGCAGTAACAACAGAAGCTCTGGAGTCAGGCCATGTGGGTTCGAATCCCAGGTCCGACTGCAATCTCTGTTGTAAGCAAGTGTGTCATTTGCAAATGGGAATGGTTCCACTGTTGGGCTTGTTCCCAGTTCAGGGTAAATGGTATTTTATCCTGTGCACAGGCAGTGCCCCTGTTACTAGAGGCTTCTGCCCTAAATTTTTAATGGTTTGATGGTTAGTCGAAAGCACATTTTCCACGTGGAATTGAAAAGTAAATGAAGATCAAACTCCCGTGAACGTAACTCACTGTGTCGCTGAAAAAGCTTGCAATGACCACAGACGCTGGTAGGAAACAATGTGTGCCATTAGAATAGGAAAAAGGCAGAATTTAAAAGAAAAACAAAATAAAAAAAAAACCCTGTCCTCTTGAATGTTGGTCTTGAGGAAAAGCAGGTTTGATTAGAGAAGGCTTGATTCGATGTAGGGGCAAATGGAGTCTTCTGAGAGGATTCTAGAAGGGACTTCTGGGCATTCTCAAGGGCTTGAGATGTGGATGGCATGGACTTTATTGTGTCTAATTGCACTTCAGAGCTCTCTGTCTGTTTTTCCTACCTTTTTCTTTACTGCAGCAAATCTTATCTGAGTGACAGCCTGCTATCTCAGGAAAGGCGGTGGGAGCCCCAGGCAGCTCCCGCTCTGAACACTCTTTATCCCTCCCTGGACACAAGCTGAAAGGAGGATATATCCACCCTTTTATGTACTTCCCTGTGACTGGATTTTTCCATATCAGAAAATTTTCTCTCCCTTGGATTTTTTCTTTTATTTTTGGCTTTTGTCTCTTTGAAGCTTAAAAGTGATGTTTTTCAAATTGCATCAAACAGCCACCTTGCGAATATTCCAGAAACACAATGGGAAGCGTTTGTTCTCTCTGAAAGGCCACTGTGTATTAAAGGAGTTGGTTATTAAAACAACAGAGCCGCCAAAAACCAAAGTAACAAATCATAGACCCATTAGAAACCAAGGTTCTAAACACGAGTTAAAAGTGGCAGGGAGAGGGGGGTCGGTTCTCTGTAGTCATCTGAGACCTTGGGCTGGTGAAGGAGCCAGAGGGTGATTGCTTCTGGGGGTAGCCCCAGGAAGCTCTCTGAAGGGGGAAACTTCCATGTGGTGAAGGCGTTTGTACTACAGAGTCATTCATTACAAAAAATCCTTGGCTACCCCATCAAGCTAGTCTTGTCTCATTATAGGGACTTGGGGATAATTATTTCCCAGAATCCTGAGTTACAGAGATTTCTGTAATAAAGAGAAAATTTTTTTCAGGGCATTGTCCTTGAATCTTGAAGAGCACACGTGCTCTGAGCAGTCATTCCCAGAGCCTGGAGTTTTCTTACGCATCCCTTACCACAGGTGAAATTTTGCCTTTGTGTGTGAGGAAGTGTGAGATTATTTGAGGAACTTCTATGTCCCAGGAGATGATGAACCTCCCACGAGGGCAGGGACCTCTTCTGCTTTGTTCCATGCATCCCAAGCAAAGTCCCCGATCCCTAGAAGACCTTCAAAAAATAGCAGCGCCTGGGTGAGTAATTGGATGTCGGCAAGTGTCGGCTGCGAGATCTCTCCCTTGGTCTTCCGATTCCTAGGAGATCAGAAGCAGGAGCTGGTGGCCTTTCACCGTCTGGCTACAGTCTATTATTCCCTGCACATGTACGAGATGGCTGAGGACTGCTACCTGAAGACTCTGTCCCTTTGTCCCCCCTGGCTGCAGAGCCCCAAGGAGGCCCTGTACTATGTGAAGGTGTATTATCGCCTGGGGCGACTCACCTTTTACCAGCTGAAGGTAAGAGCCAGGCTTAAGACGAGGTCCTGAGAGAGCTGCATTCCCACCCTATTCTTCCCTGGATGCCTTCAGGGTACAGTCGAGTGGCCCAAGATGGGAAGTCACATCTCATAGGGTGGGGAATGACTCCTCTGGAGACATGATGGCTATTTTCACTTAGCCCCATGGGAGATCTCAAAGATGCTCCCATCCGATGAGGAGAGAGATCCTAGCTCCTCTTTCTCCCTGCCCTGCTATGACTTCCGGAGCCACTTTATCTGTCAGGGACCATGAGGACCTTGCCCCGTGCCTGGGAGTTCCTGAGGGGCCTATGGAAATACACGACGCACGAAACAAAGGAACTATAAGCTCCAACATTAAAATAAAAAATTAATACTTAACGGTGCGTCTTCAAAATATTATAGGGTAACTAGTCAGTCATCGTGTACTTCTTATAAAGTTAAATGAAACTCTAAGAGAAATCTGGGTACACGCTACCACATTTGAGATCGCGAGGTGCGGTCTACGAATGCAGGCGTGCCTCTGTCCTAACCAGGCCTCAGCCCTGACCCTCCTGTTTGTTCAGCAGGAGTTGAATTTAGAGCTTCTTATTTTTCCAGCCACTTCTCTGTGTTGGTGGTCTGGAAGTCTCTGTTACCATTCTGGCCCTCAAACTTTGTCTCTGGCATTGGCTTCCCCTTACCAGAGGTCCCTGTCTGCACCAGTATGGCCCTTAATCTCTTAATATCCTTCTGAGTCACGCCTGTGTTTGGCCCCCAGGGGAACCTCAGGGCAACTCTGCTGTCCTTTTCTTATTTGCCAGACGTTGTTTCTGGCCTGAATTAATTATTGACTTGTGAGGGTTAATGGGAACCAGACATCCCTTTTTGAATCTCACCCAAAGGAGCATCTGTTACTCATTCCTACCATGTGGGGAGGGACCACGGGGTAGTGAAGGACTTGCAGCCATCTTGCTTCTGTCCCATAGCTCCGGAGAAATGGTTCAGGGACAAAGTGCATCTGATCAGGTTCGCCCAACCAGGGAATCTAGGGATTGCCAGGCGGAAGAACGCAACTCAAATTAGCTTAAACAAAAAAGGCAATTTATTGGCTCAAGTGACTGGCAAGTTTGAGTATAAATTCAGGAGTTTTAGGGAGTTCTGGATGCTGGTACTCAAACATCATCCTGGATTTCCTCACCTTTTCCTGTTTCTCTTTGCTCTGTATGTTTCTACTTCTCTATTTCCTGGGGGTCCTTTGGGTCCAGCTATTAGCCCGTGGCTAAAAGAGGGAGGGAACATTAGCTCTTTGAGGTTACACTGAGAGGTCCCAGGAAGTGAATGGGCTAGGTCGGCCTGGGTCATTTAGAGATCCCTGAGGTCCCCAGCCCAGGACGATGCCGCTTCATGATTGGCTGAGCCTGGGTAAGGTACCACCCCTGTGACCATGGCAGAGGGCCACTGCAGGGAGCACTGTCACCTGTCTAGTTCACAGTAGAGTGAGGTGGGAGCTCCCCCAGGAACCAGGGGGAAGGGGGTGGAAAGTGTGTGGGGGCAGACCAAAGCTCGAGTTCGAGTCCCCAGCACTGCCTCTTATCCTCTCTCGGAAACGTTTGCTGACCGCTGTCTCTTCTCTGCCCCCTTGCCATGGGGTTAGGATGCCCACGATGCCACCGAGTACTTCCAGCTGGCCTTGGCAGCAGCGGTGCTGCTGGGTGACGAGGAGCTGCAGGACAGCATCAGGAACAGGCTGGACCACATCTGCCGGAGCCCCCTGTGGCACAGCAGCCCCTCCGGGCGCTCCTCAGAGAGGGCACGGTGGCTGAGCGGCGGGGGGCTAGCCCTCTGAGGACCGCTGGCCCAGATCTGACCGGGGACCCATGGCCGGAGCTGCCTCCCTTCCTGAGGTCCTCCACCCTGACCTGGAGCGTCCTTCCAGGGGACGAGCACAGCTCAGAGGGACAGGGGCTCCTTTCAGGAGGGTCACAAAAGGAGTGGATGATAGAGCGGGGATTGGAAGTCCTAGCTTTGTGTCTAGAGTGTTTCCAGTGGACTCTAGTCTGCAGGTACATCCGCTGAAATGTACTTTGTCAACACGCAGTTCTCCTAGAGAAACAGAGAAAGCTTGCCCCTGCAGGGAGCCTCTCTCCTGCCCACAGTAGGGAAATCAGGCACTGCCCTGGAGAGTCTGGAAGCTAGACTTTGTTCCCCTCACTGACTTCTCTCAGGGAAAGCCCCCTCCCCTTGCCCCAGAGAAACTGGTAGTTTCTTGCTTCTCTTTCTTCAGCCACAGGAGGTGCTCTACCTCCTGCTCCTGGGGTTGGTGGCTGGGAACTCACCATGCTCTCAGCTCAAAAGACGGCCTTAGAATGGCCAGGTCGGTGCAAAGGTCCTGGGGCATCTCATGCAGATTCACCTCTCCATCCTGCCTGAGGCTCTGCTCCTCCATAACCTTCTGGAAAGTCCGGGAGGCTCCCCAAGGGCCAAGGCTGAAACACCGAACACTAAGAAAATTACCACATTACATGTAAATAGTGTATATTATTAAATATTGCTCATCCACATTTATGCATATTTGTGTCCTTTCTAACGGGGAGAGGTGAGGAGGGGGAGGCCTGAAAGTTGGGTTAAGTACCAAGGTGCCATATGGATTTCAGGGCTGCTCCTCAAAAAATCATCTCTATTAGTTTTCTGTCACTGCATAACATGTGTGTGGCTTGAACACCCTTTATCTCACAGTTTCTGTTGGAAGGCCGGAACCCAAGCATGGCTTTGCTGGTCTTCTGGCTCAGGGCGGCTCACAAGGCTACAGTCAAGGCTTGTCAGCTGCAGTCTTCTCAAGCTTAGCTAGCGGAAGTCCCTGCTTCTAAACTCACACCCACGGCTGTTGGCAGGAGTCAGTTCCTTGCTTGCTGTTGGCTGGAGGCTGCCCCCTGATCCCCGCCATGTGGGCCTCTCCACAGGGCAGCTCACAACATGGCCGCCAGCTTCGTCAGAGAGCACGTGAGTGAGACAGAGCCGAGTGAGAGAACAGAGTCTTGGCAGAACCTCATCTCAGAAGTGACATCCTATTAGTTTTGCCTATTCTGTTCATTATAAGGGAGTCACTAGGTCCAGCCCACAGGAGGAGGGAGAGGTATTTACCAAGGGTGTAAACACCAGGAAGCAGGGAATCACTGGGGGCCTTTTCAGAAGCTGCCTACCTCCGTATCTGAGTGTTTTGAGGATGGAATCAGGAATTCCCTAAGGCAGGGAGCTCCAACTACTGTACGCTGACTAGAGCAGCGGCAACAGCCTCACCTGTGGGATTGTTTGAAATGCAGATTCTGGGGCCCCCCTAGGACCTCTGAATCAGAATCTCTGGAGCCCTAGCTTTTGCCTTTCTTTCTAGATGATTCTAATGCCCATGAAAGCATTAGAAACACTGCTTTGGAGCCACGGCTCTCAGATAATGTGCAAAAGAATTGTCCACAGAACTTGCTGGAAATGAACTTTTTGGTTCTGACTCCAGGAATTCTGATTCGGTAGGTCTGGGCGATGCCCCAGGTACACGCGTTTTAAAATGAGCAACTCAGGTGATCCTGACTCAGGGGTTCACCCTTGTTCTGAAATGTGGGAACGTCCTGGACGATCTAGCCATAGGACTGGCCACAGATGCCCAGCAGCTTAGATTTTATTGTCGGACTCGCTGCCCTTGATTTCTAGCTTCTTGGGCCCACCAGACGGTTGGTAGTGTGGTGGGTTGGGATTGGGGCGAGGAGTTGAGTCCACATGGCATCTTCTAGTCATTAAGGTCATCTACGCATCAGTACATCTTATTTTCCTTTGGATCTCGGTTGGTTGTCAAACGCTCTCTGTTCTAGAATAGTCTTCTCCAGGAAGGAAATGAAGTGACCTAATCCACTACCATGTAAAATAGATGTGATTTTGTTCCCACCACAAACCGTAAAATCCCTGAGCCGGGAGGGATGTTTTGGATGGGTCTAACATCCCACGCAGCGTCCTTCCCACAACATTCCTGGGAGACAGACAGGGGCACATGCGTTCCAGGACAGTTACACATCTTATTTTGAAGAGAGCTTGTTTGGCCCTGCAACCCATGCCATGAACCGTTCCCCATTTGCCTCAGGTTACAGTCCCTCTCCCTTTCCCCCCTGACCTATTACTCTCCTCTGGCCAGATGCCAGGTTCAGCTCCTCTGCAAGTGTGCTTCCCACAACCTGCCAGTCTTCAGAATGGGCTTGTGGGGAGAGTACAGAGGGAGGTTACTGTACTTAATGTACTTTAGTGTTGTAGTCTAAGGTTGCAATAAGATATTTCTTCTCTCTGGCAGTCGTATCTTTCCTCTGGCTCACATTCAGCTTATGATCGGTTGAATCCTCCTTCCACGTGAGCTTCTGTTTCTCTAGATCTTTCTCAATTGCTGCAAATCTGTATATGTTGTGTGTGTGTGTGTGTGTGTGTGTGTGTCTCTGTGTGTATATATATGTATATATATATATACATATATATATCCCCTCTATTTATTTATTCATTTTTACGGGAAGGACATTAATGCACCTATTTTATATTTCATTGGGAATTTTGGCTAAAATTTTCTGGTTCTACACACTTTGGTTCATCTGTAAACCTGGTACATTTGCCTCTACCCAGATCAGTTATAAACATGTTCAACATAGGGGTGCCTGGGTGGCTCAGTGGGTTAAAGCCCCTGCCTTCAGCTCAGGTCATGATCCCGGGATCCTGGGATCGAGCCCCACGTCCTACTCTCTGCTCAGCAGGGAGCCTGCTTCCCCCTCTCTCTCTGCCTGCCTCTCTGCCTCCTTGTGATCTTTCTCTGTCAAATAAATAAATAAAATCTTTTAAAAAAATGTTCAACATAATCCCAAAGATGAGGATAGGATTAATTTTTAAATGAGGAAAACATTGCACGGTATCATTGCCATTACTACATCCTGTATGAAATCTCTCTGCTAACATAGTCTTTAAAAGTATTTAAGAATCTCATTTTAAAAATATGAAATCATGTTGATGCTCCCCCCGCCCCCAATCCACAGAGCATGGAGTGGTGGTGATTGGATCTGGTCCATATTTAAGCAGGTTCTCTTATAGTAGAGAAGGGGAATGAATCAGTTTTGCTCTTTATCCTAATCCTCCACTAAAAGTTGTGAGAGCCACCAAACTCCTGGCTGCCTGTACCTAACCTACATAAAGATTAAGAAGGGAATTGCACCATTGTGGAAAATCCCGTAACGTATTTTCTCAGCTTTCAGGTGCATTTTTTTCCTACCCAACAGTGTTACCACTCTGAAATCCGATATGCTTTCACCCTTTTCTTATTTGCTTCTTGGTTATTTTAAGATGTCTTCAAATTGTTTCTCTGTGTACATGTGCATGTGTGTGTGTGTGTATGTGTGTGTTTGCTTGTGCTTTGTAAGTATTATGTAACTCTTCTGACAGAAGTTTACCTGGGGAGGGAGTGTATAGGGGTGGAAAGTGTGTCAGAATTAGGGGGAGAAACAGGTCACCAGGTTAGGTGAGACCTGTATTTTGGTCTTGAATTTGACGTTAAATTGCACTGTGACCGTGGGTAAGTCCCTGAGACTCTATACCTGTCAGATCTCTGATATGTGATATAAAAAGTTTAATCACCTCTGGGTTCCTTCTCAGCAATGTTGTTTCCATATCATATGAGAGTAGGAAATGAGATTTGTATCTGGGAGATGAAATCATATATATTTTTTATGACCCTATTTTATTCTCTTCTTTTGTAGGTGAGTAAACTGAGAAATAAAAAAGTAATTTTTTTTCCCTGTTACAGAGGATGTTAGTGGCAAAGACAGCAGTACCCTGGATCTCATGACCCAAGGACTTTGCGGCACTAATAGTGCTTCTCTTGCTCAGGGCGGCCTTCCTGCAGGGATGCGTGTGCGTACGTGTGTGCGCGCGCGCGTGTGTGCGCATGCGTGCATGTGTGTATGTGTGCATGTGTGTGTGCGCATTTGTGTAGGCACTTGGGCAGTTCTCACTATTATGTGCCATCCGAGCAACCATTTCTCAAACTTCTTCTAAACTGATTTGTTTTCTTTACTTAAATAAATTAATTTTATAAAGGATGACTGATCTGTGTAGAAGGAAAACACAAGTTGTACTTTCCAGAAATAGAATTTCATAAAGGAAAACAAATACAGTGAAAACAAAACAATGCGCGACATTCAAGCTAGGTCCTGTTGCCCATGGCAAGTGGCTGGCCTCGGCTTGATCTGGCATTATTATTTGACAATACAAAGATGAACAAGTGGCAGGGAACATTGCAAACGACTGACACGGTTGTCTTGGAGCAATCAAAGAAATGCAGGCAGCAGCACAAAGGACTAAAATCCTCACAATGACAGTGTTATTCAGCGCCATGCCTGACACCTACTTCCCACTTCAGGGAAGTGGGGGTTCAGTGTTGAGAGATGTAAGGGGGAAATATGAATGTGATCCAGGATGGGAAGTTCTGTGGTGGGAGCAAATTACAGGGTGTTATGGGAACTCAGGTGAGGGCACCTCACCCAGCACGGGACCCAGGGCGTCAGGGAGGACTTCGTGGAGGAAGTAACAACTGAACTGAGTTAGAGAGAGAGATAGACAGAGATCTACTTAATTCCAGTTGCAGGTTGTGGGGTATGGAGTTGACAGGCATGTGTCAAGCAAAATTCCAGAAGATGGAGGGGACCTGCTGTTTTCTGAAAATAGCACTGAGTTTAGTAAAGCTGGAGCAGAGTTAGGGAGGTAGGGAAGCAGAAGCGGGAGAAGCTGCTAGAGGGGGAGCCAAGAGTGAGTGGGAACCATGGAAAAGTTATAAGCGGGAGAGCAAGACATGGTCAGATTTGTGCATTAGAAAGATGATTC